GGGGGCTGAATGGAGCCCAAGTTAAGGGGTGAGGTGCGGGGAAGGGGCCGGAGCCCACATCTGATTAGGAAACTACACCCTGGCTGGAAGGCACAGTCCCCAACCGAAAAGGGGACTGCACCACTGCAGGACTATGCATCCTGAACATGCTGTTATCCGACAATTGCATTTTTTGTTTTGTTTTGAGCGGTTAGTTAAAAGCATAAAAATCACATTGTAGCAGCAACAGCTGCCGCATCCGAGGTCGCGACGGTATTTTCATTCCAACCACCGTAAGGTGACGACCCAGTTTTCTGTAACATGTGGGCCGCCCCCCCCCCCCCCGCTCTTCCCGATCTAAGGTTAACAATTACAAACAGGCAGGCTTCGACGGGCTCAGTGCCCGGATTCTCAGGGAATGTGCCGAGGAGCTGGCTATTCCGTTAGAAATAATATGCCAGCTTTCTCTAAACTCTGGCGTCTTACCCTCCATGTGGCAGCAAGCGAATGTGATACCGGTGCACAAGCAGGGGTCCAAAAAGCTACCTGAAAATCACAGACCGGTGTCGTTGGTTCCTATCTGCTCAACAATATTGGAAAAATTGTGAGCGAAAGCCTATTATAGGTTTGTCTGCCCGCTCTTCCCTCATCACAGCACGGATTCCTTCCAAATCTCTCTTGCATCACAAACCTGTTTTCTTGAACACTGCTTGACATCTATCTCAAAAAGTAAACAAACAGATGCAATTTGCACCGATTTCTCTTCAGCACCCATCAGCGTGAATCACCTTCTTCTGCTACACAAGCTTCGCTATTCTTTTTGCATCACTGGCCGTGCGTACAGCTGGCTGAAGTCTTACCGGAACAATCGTTCCCAACGCGTAGTGCTGAACGGCAAACAGTCCGACTGGATTCCAGTACGATCTGCTGTCCCGGAAGGCAGCATCCTAGGACCGTTGCTGTTCGCCTGCTTTCTGCCTGATGTTCCTGACCAAATCGAGAGTGAGTGCCTTGTGTACGCTGACGATGTAAAAATGGGTCGCCGAATCGACAACGTAGCAGACTGGCTTACACTTCAGGCGGCTTTGGATCACCTCAGTAAATGGTCCAAAACTGGGGTCTGAAATTGAGCCCAGTTAAATGTAATACCATGTCATTCACTCTCCGCACGTCACCTGTTCACTACTCATACGCACTAGGCGGTCACAGCTTGGATGGCTGCCAGCAGATTCGCGATCTTGGTGTCTTGCTGGACACCAAACTCACCTTTGCCGATCATATAGATTCAGCTCTCTCAAAAGCAAATAGGATGATGGGACTTCTCATACGAAGATTGCAGATGCTGTCATGCTCTCTTCAGGCGCGGTTCAATCACAAGGCTTTGCTTTGTGCCTTCAACGCTCATGTGAGACCAGTGATATGTGAGTGCGGTAGCGTTATTTGGAGTGGTGCTGCCGTTTCCCATCTCGCCCGGTTCGAAAGAGTACAACACCGCTTTCTCATGTGGTTGAGCTTGAGTAACCGGTCTCAGTGTCCTCCACTGGATTATGAGCATCTTCTCGCTTTCTTAAAAACATCATCTATCTAGGCACGCTTCGCTCAGTCTGACATCTTATTTCTACACAACGTATTTCATCACAGGCTTGACTGCGCTCACCTGACATCACTGTTTAGTCTGGCTACACCCGTCCGGCGTTGTCGGCATTTCGGCCTTTTCTACCAGCCGTTTGCAACAGTCAACACTGTTAAAAATGAATTTGGCGCACGACTTCCCGCTGTCTGCAATCAGTTTTTGAAGCGTTCTCCTTCAACTAACCTTTTTCCGTGCAACAAAATCATTCCGATCTGATTTGTTTAGGTTCGCCGGCACGCGTGGAACATTTTCTTGATGATTTGGTGTGTGTGTGTGTGTGTGTGTGTGTGTGTGTGTGTGTGTGTGTGTGTGTGTGTGTGTGTGTGTGTGTGTGTGTGTGTGTGTGTGTGTGTGTGGTGTGTGTGTGTGTGTGTGTGTGTGTGTGTGTGTGTGTGTGTGTGTGTGTGTGTGTGTGTGCGTGTGTGTGTGTGTGTGTGTGTGTGTGTCAGAGTGTGAGTGTTTGGTTAGGTCTTTGTTTTGCGTGTGTGTCTTATATTTTTTGTTCCTAAAACTGGACTGCTTTCGTAATTGGGGTTTTGCCTGTGGAATGCTTGCGTCCTAACTAAACTAAACTAGACTAAACTAAGCTTTCGTTGCATTTTGCTCTGGATAACGATTTAGGCTGTTCCAAATTTCTTCGGTTGGGAAATGACACTTTTTCACCCCTCGTAAAACTGCTGACTACACTGAATGAGCACGAGAGAAACTTGTCTGCAGGTCCAGCTAAACCTTGTGAACAACATTGTAGTACGGGCTGCGGCGGCCAGCCCGCGTAAAAGTAAAATTCCCCGTTTGGCTGTAAGAGAGTCCAACCACATTCTGGGTGGACTGACACATGGGGTGATGGACAAGTGGGGTGATGAATGTAGAAACAGAGGACACCTTTTCCTGAATAGCTAGTGACACACTTTTGCTATCAAGCACTTCACATGCCACGTGTCGGCACATGGCATGGCACGCAACGTGTAGCTTGTTTGGATAACAGAAAATACGCTCGCCCAAGTGCTTTGAGATAGAGAAGGCAACTGCCCCTCCCCTCTCGTTTCCGTCTCCAGCGCCTTTTCAGCTGTCTTTTGGTATGAGCCTGTGCGGCTTGCGATTGCGATAGAACATGCTTTTCAAGTCTTAGCAATGTTTTTTGTTGTCAAACAACACCATATGTCTTCAACTTGCACTTAGCGTCATTGTGTGTCAGCTCAGTAGGTTTAGAATTATATGTTCTGGAAGTCTCACTTGGAGTCACATGCCACGCTGGCAGGGTGAGCGCATGACTTCCAGTTTGACGCCGGCATCACTCACACAGTACTCGGGGTGCCGCAGCCGGCGGTGGAGACCATGAAACCGCTGGAGTGCACCTGATCCGGCTTCTGCGTCAACGAGATGACATTGCACGGTCGAGAGTCGTACAACTAAAGCAAACCAGGAATATGGTCGTTCATTGATCCCCTGTATTGAATATCAATAGACAAAAGCTTACGAACGTGGATTTTGGTGCGCTCTTAGGCTGCCTTTGGTCTTAGGCTCAAGCAAGTCTTATCTGGTATATGCTGGGGAAAGGTGGAGCAAATCAGCAGTACTCTTTGCATCATAAAACCTGCAGCCTTCAGAGCCCCGCTTTGTCGAATGTCTAGGTCCCACCGTTCACTGACTTGTCTGTTCCCGTTGGATGGAGCCGCGCGAGTGTGCTTGGCCACGTCCGGGTCGGGAACCCCGGCCGAGGAGCTTGGGGCACCTTAGTTTCTTGCGCTGTTATAATCGACCGCTCCTCAAAGATAGATCATCCAGGAAGGTGAGACACGCGTGCACTCCATTTAGTACACCGTCCTAGGCTAGCTACATCGATATGTCTCATTTTGTCCTGTCGCGTGATCTGCGCGACTGGGGCCCTATCCAAATGCCAACTGATCTGTGAAGTTGGTAGTTTATTCAGCGATTTATTCAGAGACTAGTTCCGATTTCGTTTAAAACACGTCATATGATCAGCTATGACACGATAACGTCGAAAGTGACGTTTATTGTGCAACATCATGTGACCTTCACGATCAAAGCCAAGGTGAAAGGACGAGGATTACATATAACCGAAAACACATCTCTCTGCAGGTTAGATGCGAGACCGCCAAAACTCACAATAAGAAGGTTTTTGTCCCCCACCCCCACCACCCCCACAATGAAAGAAAAATCGGCAAATCCGGGTAAGGCACTGGTGGTTTTGAAGGGGCGGTGTTTTCAAAATTATTTGCGATTCAACCACCAAACTCTCACCGCAAAATTACGCCCCTGCAGGCTGCTGGAGTAAGCCGTCTTCCTTTCCCCACATACTGCACTTTCGTCATCGCCTCTAGCTCCAGCCGAGTTGGATGGAATTCGTCCCCTCCTTGCCGCGCTCGGCGTTCTCAGAAACGTCGAGGACCTTTCCGCTCCACGGGGCGCCGCCGCCGGCGCACCGCTCGCTCGGACGACACGTTCGGCCAAGGTCACCGCCAGCTGGCGCTCGGGCTCGATGGCTAGCCGTGGAGATGGCACCTATCTAAGTCGAGTTGGAGGAGCGCTCGACCTATGAAGTTGACCCAACCTACCGCAACACCTAATTTCTCCCCGCATTTCAGCCATTTAAATTGGTTTTCCCGACGTCAGGGATCGATGTGTTGATCGTCCCAATTAGCCGTTGCGGACAAATGACTTCCCATTTCGAACCAATGTGGTACTGGGGTTTTGAAACAAGGTCGTAATTGGGTGTATTTTGCAGGAAACATCTAAGTAAAATTGTTCGCTTTTGTCGCCGGAGCGGGGTCTCGTTTACTCTGCATGGACGGTTGTTCGAGCGCAACAAGACCGTGTGAACAATGGCATGTTCTATTAGCAAAGCGACAGAATGGTCGACACGTGTCTCCGTATGTCACTTGTGTCGCGTTTGTATCGTCCTGTCCGGCCCTGCATCTAGCCTGCACAGACGTTTGTTACTGGAGCTGGGGTGTTTCCCGGTCACGTGGCCGCGTGTCGCGCAGACAGCTTTGACAAAGAAAGCTCACAATTTCAGTCTCGCAATCCAAAGAACAATGGGCACGTGTTCATCATTTTCGCATACATACACGCGCGGCAAGCTTGTATCAGTTTGTGTGGTTTTGCACCTGATTTTGCGGGATGTCCGTTGTTGGACTTCAAATTTTAGATCGGCCGGCCAAGAGCCACCGAGACTACTTAAACACCAGCCGAAGTGGCACCTCCGAAGGCGTGAGAATGGACCTGAAAGCGACGAGACGGTCGTTACATCTCTGCTATTCAGCCACACGTGCACACGTACTATGTGTGCACCAGATTGGGCAGTTTAAGTTGTTGGGAGGTCCGCTGTTGGACTCGGCAATAATCGACCGCCGACCGTCAGCCGCTTCCGCGCCTGCTTGGGTGCACCTTGGCGCCGCGTCGCCGGAGTGGCGCGCATGCAGTAAACAGTGGGGAGGAGGCCCCTCGAAAGATTTAAAAGTGGACCAGGATTGGGGAATACCGGATATGCTGGGAAAGGTATTTTCGAATTAAGTTGCTAATCTGCTGTGAATGGCTTGGCATGGTACCAATCTTATTGTCATGCTATCTTAGTTTGTAGAGGGGATCACTTGGTGTTTTTTAAGGGGAAGGATCATGTTATTTCCGAGACATTCCACGATTTTTGAAGTTGCCAAACTGGATTGAATGGTATATTATTACATGGCAATGAGAAGCACTTGACAGCCAGATCCTAACTGCATTTTTGGTGGAGGCTTTGATATAGAAGATGTGGTGATGACCCTTATATGACCATGGTAATGACCTTGCCAATTGCCAATTGCAATCAACCATCATAATTTGTGTGCTTTTACCATGGATGCTTGTTTAGTTTCTTCTATGACACCAGCACTTCCTGTCAGTGTCCCACATACTGTACATTTCTGGCTGCACCAGCAAGCAAAGGATGGTGAAAATGGGTGCTAGCCAAAGTTACCTGCATCATCTGGTGCAATCTATCTCATATAAACCAGAATTGCACATCTATTTACCTTTCAGCACAATATTGCATGACCAATCATGTACCTGCCAATATATCAAAATACTGCCACATCTTAGTTAACCGCATTGCTGGGATGGCAGTTACTATCCCTGTAGGTTGTATGAGGTTCCTGGCACCAACAATGTAAATTGGGTCTCTTATGTTGGTTCAATCTCCTGCAACATGTTTTATTGGAAGATGACAATATTGAGGGAAAATATGAATTTGCACAAAGCCTTCCTTCTTTGGACATGATGTCCTGGCTTTAGCCACTGTGCTGTTGAATAAAGTGTAAAAAGGACACACTAAGGGAAAATACAAATTGTCATTTGTTCAAACAAAATTGGCAAAATATGTAGAGAAACACAGGTTGGGGGCAGGTGAGTTACAAACTTACAACACCTTCAGTTCCCCCTACCCCAGTCAGTCAGTTGCCAAAAGTGACAGTCTGGCTGCACAGCTAGCTGATTGTGACTGTCTGCTGCTGCAAGCACTGGTTATTTTGTCATTTGATGGTAAATGCATGGCAGTCAAGTTTGCTGTGAATGTACAATCATCAATCTGCAATGTAAGCCAACAGTTTGCTGATTTGGGTAATCAACCTTTGCCACAGACATGACATCTGCAATGCAGATGATATCAGCCAATGTTTGGCTGATATTTTCCCTAGAAGACCCATGAGTGAATCTTATTACTGAACACTTGTTTTGTTCCAGAGCCACCAGCATCCAATTTCTACTGAGATACATCAACTCATGGGTGTGCCTTTTTTGTGCTGATGGAAGCACTTAGGATCCAGTCAACTCAATATTTGTAACTTGCTGGAAAGAAAGCCATTCATTGTAATTTTAGGTTCACAGGCATTGCATGAGGGCTGGTGAGTAAGGCTATCCCCAGGGAGAAACTTTTACTGGCAGTTTTAGAATATTCATTGAGGTAAAATAAAACAAAATTCAGTGATATTTTGAAACCTAGGCCAAATGCATCTTTGACACCCCACGTTGCTGTCCAAAACACTTATGGATCTGCTGCTGTTCATTTTGTGTGGACCTTTGAAATAAATGGGGACTTCTGAGTCTTGTAAACTTGGGCCACTGGAAGGCGAGCTCTGTGGTATTTGTGCATGTGCAAAGCACACACTTGGCATATTGTCAGATTTGTTAGGGTGCAAATCTCATGTTTGGAATACCAAATTTTTTGTACCTGTTAACAGTACATGTTTCTATAAAACTGTGATGACCACCAGAACAAAAATGGGCTGTTCATATACTTCATGATGCATGGAGGAGACTGGGTAGGGGTGGAAGACAAGCTTTGATAGAGCATACTGTAAGACTCACTGCAGGGGGGGGGGGGGGATAGTATGAGGTGAGGTTTTGACACTGTAATATTCTCACATTGCAAATTGTGTTAGTCTTTGAAATAGAAATTGAATCCCAAAGCTTTCCTAGGTGGTCTACTGAATGCAACATACTCAGGTCTAAAGAATGGGGTCAATTTGGCCCCCTTGCTGTGGTATGGAAAAATCTAAGAGCTGCAGGCACAACATTGCATGTCAGATATGACTGCAAACTCATTTATGTCAAAAATTTATGTTTGATGATGGCCCACTTGATTATGGGAGGCCTAATTGTTTTCATTTTTACCTTCTTGAGCTGGGACATCAGGCAAAAGCTGCTGGAAGATGCAATTCTGTTTGTATTTGGGGGTTAATACATTGCAGGAGATGGGCCTTGATTGACTGCACAGAAGTCTACCAGCGCTTTTCATTTAACAGTGGTGTAGTGAACTCTAAAGCAATGCATCCAGAGGGTTTGGCAGATTTTCTTTGTCCTTCGGATATGGTGAGGACCCCTTGAATGTAGATTGTGGATCAAAACTTAGTTACAAATATGTACTAACATGGCTTGCCCATGTATGTCCAGGAATGTTCAACCCAAGGCGCATTTGATTAATGACAAAATCGTGTAACATAGGTTTGGACATGCGCGACAACGAATATCCCGACGCCCGGTGTTGCTGTCGCCACAGCCCCCCACCTTTCCATGGCGTTCGCCCTGCGACTGATGAGATAAAGATGAAATAGACGTCCCAGTGGGTTTTAAATGCTATAAGAATGACTGGAAGATTTTCGGAAGCAGTTTTCACGGCGGTCATTTTCGCGCGCAGGGCGTCCACCGCCTGGTGTCATCTGCAGTGACCAATGCGGTTTTGGCTTGCGGAAACTACAACCCATGCCACAGCTGTCCTTGCTCCTAAGGTTCCTAGAGCGCAGACTCAACACTCATGTAATTTGTTTCACGAGTCGATTTTGCAAAAAGATAGACATTTTCATACAGACATGGGTTGGCTTCTTGGGGTTCCGACCTGATTTCGATCTCCTGTATTAAGCACTAATGAGACCCCCGTTCCTTTTCCAGACAAGGGACCCGTGGGTAGAATAATGTGGCACCTTATCGTTCCCGCCAAGGGCTGAAGGGCCATTCCGTCCCAACGCGGGATGTCTACCGGCTTCCATTCGGGTGACACGGGGCGGGTTCTAGTCGACTCGGAGGACCCAATTAGATAGATATGCCATACATTGGTCTCTTCCCTGACGTGGCAAACCCTCTGGCCTGGGCAGTTGGCCCCATATAGATACAAGAGCCCTCATTGGCTGCAACAAAATCCATGATTGCCGCAGGGGCTTCAATAATTGGCACGGATGATCCAGCTCGGCTGAAGGCCCCTTGGCTCAAATGGGATGGGGGTTCCCCGTCCGGTGCTGCGACAATCACACAGGGCTGTTCTATTGGACTCGCGTCACTAGGTCTGATATGTCCTTACATTGTCTTAAGAACCCGGCCAACGCGCGAGGCCCTTTGGCATTCGAGGTCCAGCCCTGTTCCTGTTTAGAAAATGTTGCGCTAGTCGACCCAGGACCCATACCGACATAGGGTCCTTGTTCGGCGCTGTGGGCCCCTGACCGTCCCAGAGGTCCGACCAATGCAAATCGCGAACCCTGCGTCGGAACCCAGTCCTAGTGCTTAGACCTGCGCGGGGCGGCGGTTCGGTGTTGGTGGTCCCTCGCCGAAATAGAGGCCCGCGCTGTCCCGGCGGGTTCTAAATCGGTGCAAAAGGCGCTCTGACTGACATTTAAAGGCGAACACCACCCTTGATCTACAGATTTTCTATGTGGCCATCCCGAGTCACAATAATTACATTGTCTGTGTCTAGTGTCCAGAATTCGCAATCTATCCGCTCACCCTGTACAGATGCTTCAGCAAAGCAAGTCATCTTTGTGTATGCATCTAGGCTTTATATATATATATATATATATATATATATATATATATATATATATGTGTGTGTGTGTGTGTGTGTGTGCGTGTGCGTGTGCGTGTGCGTGTGCGTGTGCGTGTGGGTGTGGGTGTGGGTGTGTGTGGGTGTGTGTGCGTGCGTGCGTGCCTGCGTGCGTGCGTGGTCCTCAATTAAATTCTTCATAGACAACAAGTGCAATGAATTTTGCATCATTAAACCTTGTTTTTACTGACAATAAAGCTGTATGTTGCATTAAACTCACCTCCACACTCCTGTAATCACAGGTAAATTTACAGGCTATTCACCCAGTGCTTCAGTTCATGTCCTTCACAAGAAAGTAATACAACATGATTTTCTGACTTGCCACAGGATGAACAACAGGTGGTTATTCACAATGGCAAGAAGTACCTGCTTTGTGAACGGCCGGATGTCACGGAAACCATGGAAGAGGTGGGCGTGCTTTGAATACTCTTGCTGAAATGTAATTTAGTATGCTTTGGCACGCTTTGAATGGTACCTCGGGTTTGCTTGCTTGCTTTTTGTGTGTTTAGTGTTGTCTAGTATGAAATATTGGCTTGTCTATTAGTGGCACTTGTGCGTGTATGTTCATGCAGTTTGGTCATGCGTATGGTTATGCTGCATGCTTGTGCATACACTTATGTATATGCTTGTGCTTGTGCATTTTGCAGTCTGCTTATGTGAGTGCTTGACGTCCTGCTATAAGACGTATGCCTTTTATTGATCTAGCTGTAGGTTTCTGATACAGTTAAGAAAGGCATTGAATTTCAAACGATTTTGCAAACTTTCTTCAGTGTTGAACTTTGGCGGTTACAAAGGAAAAACATTAAACTGCCACAAGTGCAGACAGTGTTTTTTTCACTGTTTCGTATTTATTTGACTTGCCGCTTTGGTTTTGGGGCAATTCCTCGACAGATGGCCTTTATGTTTTAATCAACTGACAAGATAGGAGCAATGTTGTAGTTCTGTGGTCACCTTGGCCTTCAAAGGTAAATCAAGGTCACTGACCTTAATTAAACATCAGTGGCCAGTCACCATTGGCCATTGGCCTCTTGCTTAGAACAGATATCCAGCTTCACGGCGGTTGTGTGAGAAGATTTGGGACACTTGAGACGCGAATCTTGAGTCTTATATTGTTTTATGTTGTTTAATCCCAAGGTCATAACCTAGTAACCTCAAATTTTGACACGTGCAGTTACAGTACAGTTAAAGTTAGTTCACGTACAGAACAGTCTGCCCTGTGATTTTGGTGCCTAGCTAGCTTAGTTTTCGAGATATCAAGGGGTCAAATCAATCCCCACCTGAGCGAAGGGTATCCAGTCGGCCACCCGGGGGCGTGTTTAGGCCCGTCGCCGTTAGAAGCGGCGGAACGTTTAAATTCCGTACACGGGTGGCGCGCTGCGGAAACGTGTGTCCGATTCCTCTTTGATCTCCAACAGTCGTTAAGGGAAGCAAAACAAAACTCAGTCTTCCATTAAAGGAAATGTTCCACATTTGAAGATATTGAATCAAGTGTTAGATGCGATGAAATTGGGCTCACTCATAACTATTGATATACTTTTTAGTGGAGAGGATGCTCTAAGATAACACAATTTCTCTGTGTCGTGAATGTGCTCCTCAGTGCGTCATTGTTTGATTACGTCATCGCACTTTGTACAGCATTGATTGAGCGCCAATTGACGGCCGTTATATCTGGAAATGGCACTCACGAACGCCAAAAATAGAAGTATCGACAGGCTTTTCTTCTTTTTTTCATTTCGTGGCCGCGATTGCCGTATGGCTAAAAGAGTAGCAGGATTTAAATGGCGTTATAGCGTCATGAATGCCTGGATGACCTTGAAATAGTCTCCCAGAAAAGGTGCGCATCTTCGCGGACGTGTAGCTCGGAAACTAGAGGGGTTTAGGTCTTACGAAGGGCAGGGCTTTGAGCCACCAAATGATCTTCAGGATGGCTGTTTCAGTTCAAAAGCCCTTTCAAGCGTGGAACACTCCCTGTAGGGTTTTTGTCACCGGACTCGGGGAAGGTATTTGGACTTGGCATTCGATTTTGTATTGGTTGCTGAAAGCAAACACGGCAAACTGCTCGTTTGACAGACCCACCGATGCCGTCGAGTGCATTTTTGTCATGCGAGGAAGTAAAGACATTGCTCACATTGTAGCTCTTAAACCTTCTCGTGATAATGCATATTTGCGATGTTAAAGCTGCTTCATACTGTTCTGAACATCCGTCCAAAGGTACAGTTTCTGTGGACCTAGATGCACGTTTTTTACGCGATATCAAAGCAGATTGCAATGCTGTCAGTACTATTGCATTATGCACCAAGAAGTCGGATACCACACAATTGCTCTGGCGACAAGCCCTCGGACAAAGAACAGCGCTGTGCCAGCGGAACCACTAGGTTGTATCCGGTACAAGAAATGCAAAATGTTCCCGCACAAATCACAGCAGCAGCAGCACCGTGCCATGGTCGGGAAAACGGTCGCGCCGGTGCATGGTTGACTGGGATTGTGCTTTAGCACATAGTTACGATGCATGAGCTGCGTTATCACCTCACTGAGCAAAGGCTCACACTTGTCTTCCTTAGGAACGACCTGAACTAATGTGCATAAATGAACCGTGGTACAGTTCCGAAACAGAAATGATCCCGTGTATGCATTATCCTTCACGTTGTCCAGTCTATACGCTTTACGCCCACTCCTTTCTCCCTCGGACACTCCCCGCATACATGTGCCAGAACTAATGCTGGCTCTTGTGCTAGGACATCGAAAGATATTGTTGTATTTCTTTCCAATTATTTTTGCGTGCGTTATGCGCTTATCGCTTTCTTCTCAGAGGGGCATTTAAGATGACACCGTCATCAACTATCTGCAACTTCTCACCCATGGACACCACCAAAGGTCAGGTTACTGACCGATACGCAATCTGCATGACCTCTCACTGACTTGAAAATGGTGCTAACGTTTTTGTTGGGCGACGAGCTTTCATATGCCCTCGGTATCGGCTGTATGTCGCATCATATGCAGGATGAATACAGGCCCATGCCGTGACCTCACTGTTGACCTCGATGGACGTTACAGAGTTGGAGTTGCATAAACAACTGTGTATGATCATGGAAATGCGCCATGCATGGTAAAAGCAATGTAACGTATCGTGGTCAGTGTGTTGATGCCGATCGGCTGATCAATCTATGTCGATCATCATCACAACGTATGGCAATGCCCGGGTGTCCTTCCTTATTTTGTAGTATAATTTTTGGGAAAACTTATGAATGTAAGGAAAGGTCACGCGGTCACGTGGCCAAAAAATGACGACGGGAAGTGCTCATCTCTGTGACATGGATGCAGGAGATCATCAGCTGTTGAATGGTATGGAGTTTTGATGAGACTGAACAGCCATTGTATATATTAAAATGAGGTTCTACTCCACTTTTACAGATTCTTCTTAAATTCTGTGACCTCCGTCTCGTGGACCATGCGACTCAGAAGCCTAAAAATATTTGGGTGTGATTTCTGGCGTAGATGAAGGCGCGTGCGAAATTTAGTCCAAATTGGAGTGGTCATGGTGAACAATTTTAGGCCTACCTTGATGATTTGTCCTGGAATAGACCGCTCAGTAATGCTGTAATCACTAGCATATGCGACGCTATCAGCCTTGCACGTGGTCCATGTTGGCACTCAAATCTGCGGTATTGTGGCGTCGGGGAATTTCTGCCGAAAAGAAAAGCGGTACGTGATTCATTGAACCAATAAGGCTAGATCATAGAAGCTGATGGTCTGCCTTGCTCATGACAAGTATGATAAGTGCTGCAGCATGCTTATGTTGTGAGATGCTTGCAGCACGTACAAGGTGTGCTTGCGTACTTCATGGATGCGAATAGACACAAGCAGACAGGCGGGTTCGGGTAACAGTAGGTAAGCAAACACGTAAGGAAATGCTTGTTTCTTTTCTGTACTAAATAATTTTTGTGTCTTTCAGGAACTAATGCGAGGCACAACTGTGGCATTTAAGTGTGAACCTGAGAAGGAAAGCTTTCTGCAGTGGATGAAGCTTTTTCAATCCTTTACTAAAAGGATATTTAGTATATCGGGATCCAAATCCGGTGGAAAGCACGTTGGATACAAGGTAAGTGTGCCGTGTTTCTAAGTGACATGCCAACAAGCCAAGTTCAGTGCTGGTCTAATAAGTACTGCTTGCATGATCGTCCTCATCCTTCTATTTCAACTTGGTAATGTTCCACGACCAGACTGACAGGCTGGAGAGTCAGATGCTGAGTCGAAGATAATCGTGAGTACAAACACTATATATATATATATATATATATATATATATATATATATATATATATATATATATGTGTGTGTGTGTGTGTGTGTGTGTGTGTGTGTGTGTGTGTGTGTGTGTGTGTGTGTGTGTGTGTGTGTGTGTGTGTGTGTGTGGTGTGTGTGTGTGTGTGTGTGTGTGTGTGTGGTGTGTGTGTGTGTGTGTGTGGGTGGTGCGTGCGTTGCGTGCGTGCGTGCGTGCGTGCGTGCGTGCGTGCGTGCGTGCGTGCGTGCGTGCGTGCGTGCGTGCGTGCGTGCGTGCGTGCGTGCGTGCGTGCGTGCGTGCGTGCGTGCGTGCGTGCGTGCGTGCGTGCGTGCGTGCGTGCGTGCGTGCGTGCGTGCGTGCGTGCGTGCGTGCGTGCGTGCGTGCGTGCGTGCGTGCGTGCGTGCGTGCGTGCGTGCGTGCGTGCGTGCGTGCGTGCGTGCGTGCGTGCGTGCGTGCGTGCGTGCGTGCGTGCGTGCGTGCGTGCGTGCGTGCGTGCGTGCGTGCGTGCGTGCGTGCGTGCGTGCGTGCGTGCGTGCGTGCGTGCGTGCTGCGTGCGTGCGTGCGTGCGTGCGTGCGTGCGTGCGTGCGTGCGTGCGTGCGTGCGTGCGTGCGTGCGTGCGTGCGTGCGTGCGTGCGTGCGTGCGTGCGTGCGTGCGTGCGTGCGTGCGTGCGTATTGGCTTATTAGACCGTTGTCTATGTCAGAAGTATCATTCAAGTCGGATGGATTTCATCCTTAAGCCATATTTTTGGGGAAAACGGCCATCGCCCATGTGTTCCGCTTTGACGCCACCATGCCACTTTTAAGAAGAGTGCGGAATGTTTACAGCTTTTGATTACGTCATCCTGACATATTCCAGGCGTGGCTTCGCTGTCACCTGGAGGTACCCGATCAACGTGGCCACCAACGAAAGAAAATTTCGGAGCAGAATTTGGGCTGCCCCACTCGGATGACTGTCACCCTTAAACGGCAGGCTGTGAGGTGCGATTGTCATATATAATTTTGTACAGTCCTATGCGTGATTGTGGCATGTGGATGCAGTCGCGGGGGGGGGGGGGTAACCTCCCATACACACAGGCACATATGCCTGCGCGCACACACACACACATAGCCGGACGTACTCGCTTCTTCACGCGCGAGGCAAGAGTGTAAAATTGTTCTGCAAGAGTGTAAAATTGTAGTGATGCCGTACGACAGTCGGTCGTCAGTACATCGAGTACTGGAACGATATTCAGCCCTGGCGGGCTGCCTTTGACTTGACAAGCGTCTCGGTACCTTCCGATCGTATTCAGGCTGTCTGGCTAATCGAGGTGGTCATGTTCCCTCGGGGCACGTAACCATATTACGAGTGGTATTTGACGGCGGCATTTGGATAATGGTTTAATGCTTTGTGACCTCTAGCGCCCCCGGTCTTCTCGGAACCCTGACTGCTTACGGTCTCGGCGTCCCGTGGCGTGTCTGGGCTGTTTCGGCAGCCCTACTGCCTCTGGGGACCCTGGTGCTTCGGGGCCGGGGTGTTCCAGCACCTGCGTATTGTTTATGATGATCAGTATTCTGTTTCTCATGAATTTTGGCCCACGTGTGTTCTATGGTCTTCCGGGCGTTTCTTGCGGCTTTGATATTTCAGGTCGCCACAATATGTTTGAGGATCCTGATATGTTCTTCAGCGCGGCTGCGATTATAATGTTTCGGAATGTTTTTCAGTGTCGTTGTGCTCAGGTTGCTTTCGGTTCTGTGCATTTCCGTTATTCGCTTCCATCCGGTCTACCTCGCATGAAGCGTCTTTCCCAGCAGCTTCTCGTGGAATGGGCCTTGCCTGCGTTTGGCGGGGGAGGGTATATCCCATTTAGAGTCCCCCTTAATCCGCGCATGGACCAGCACGCGCACTGCATATAATGCATCTAGCAGTCATGCGTTATATATTATGGCACAGCTGTCGTTAAGAGGATGAAGGTTGACTCATCCTAAGATGCAGGTCAGCATTTGTATGAGATTTTAAACTGGGATAGCCGTTTCAAGATCATTCCCTGTAGTTTATAGCCATGACCTCACTTCGAACTTCACACACTTTGAATGCTTCAAACCCTCTTGTCCCTGCTCTTGATGCATGCGGAGTCATGCAGCCTTTTTTGGGCCGCCTTTTTGAAAGTCAGCCAGAAATATGTGTCCACAAAGAAATGTCACGCGACTTCCCCACCTTTTTGGTTGTTTCGCAAGACTCAACTCATCACATGCTGGGTTCACAAATACTAGGAGCTCGCATGTCACTCTTTTATCTAAGAACCACATACCCTGTCATCACGTGACATCTCCCGACCCCGACACAGGTCACGCCGCGCTGAGCTCACCCTGCTCCACCAATCATTACGCTGCACGTATTCGCGTATTGGGATCTAACCAATCAGAGGCCTGCTTTGGTCGCACCGTGGCCAACTCGCGGGGCAAGGCAGCGCCGGGTGCCGGTTAACTCAACCTTACAAAATCACAATATTAACACCCAACAGTTGTAGTGTACTCACAGCCAAGAAAAGTGCTGGCCCCCTGCAGTTTTCGTGTTTGAAGTGGTTCAACATCAAGCGTCTCGACGATGGAAGACAATTGGCTCACAATCAGGTTGGGCTACCGTTTGCATGTCTCCATCGAGAGCCGCGTTTTGCGACAATTAACACAGGTATTTGGATAGATACTAGTTAAGACGAGCATAAAAGTGATAATGAAATAACCGTAAGAATGGCGCCGTCAACGTACGTGCGAATGCAAGTAAATAATATGCCACAACGGAAAACATACAAGAACACCACGAGAAAAGACCGAAGCATACACACACGATCTAGGGACATGAATTCACACGCATAAACCTCCACGTCACCTTGCCTTGTACAGAACAAGTGACTCACGCAGTCGCTGCAGCGGTCACTGACGTCGCCAGTCTGGCAGCGACTCTGACGTCATGACAACGTTCCATGACGCAATCAAACGATGAAATTTTAACGAGCATATTTACTAAAATAGTAATAGTTTGCTATTATTAAGAAATGGTATTGCACTTCAAGCACACAAGTAGTTCCAAGTGAGATGGTGAACATCGTTGGACCGTAGATATGTTATGTGCTACCAGTTGGATACGGGCAGTGAATATTGAGAGCGGCTGGAGTGGAACGCGGCAATGTTAGCGTGCGTAAGTGACCCTATGGTATAAACTGATCGATCCACGTCCTTTGCCTTCGCAGGAACAGAAGCCGGTTGCCCTACGCAAACCATCAGATGAGAGTGACCTGCAACGGCAGGCCCCACAGCCATGCGAAAGACTCGCCTGTAACGCTCAGGTTTAGACGGGTCGGAGAGGCGACAAAGGAGAGAATGCTGGGGCTTCTCGCTCAGCATCACTCGCCACCAGAGGCGCTGAGAATTCTGAAACAGCAACTCCAGGAGGAGTATGGGACAAGCTATGAGAAGATTTCAGCTGACCGTTCTATCGTACCCGATTTAAGCTACGTTTATAGGTGAGCGCACCTGTGAGTACAATCTCTACTGAGGCGATGAGACATTGTATTGGTTTTCACCTTGACTCGGGGCCTAGCGGAGTAGGTACTCCCACATCACGCTTGCACAAGGCATGATGTTCTCCTCCAAGTTTTACAACGGGTATTACAAGGGTATTACAACTCCGGATGTGCTGGTGTCCGCTGGCACGCTGCTGACATTTGTTGTATTTAAGATAGCATACCACACCTTTGTGTTTTTTACTTGTGTTGGATTAGGTGTTCACGATGCATTCAGTAGTACCAGTTTTCTCGAGATCGTTCTAAGAAGTTCAGAATTTTGACTCGGAAGTAGCTGCTCCTGAGGGAGAAATCCCATGGGACTCCCTGCTCACCACTCTGAAGGTGATACCTTTCACTTGTTTTGGTTTTTCCGAGGGTGTATTGTATGATGTTTGGAACATACTATTTATCAGCAAAGTTGTGTAATGAATGCTGCGAAAAATTTCAACACTGTTTTGACAACAATATACACGAACATGAAGGTAATGTCCAGTGAATTTAACGAAATGTTATACTATGCCTTTGATTTCTCCCCTATGTCGCTCACCGAAATGTATCTTCGGGGCGCACTTAGGTTTTGGGGATGGGAGTATCGCGTGGTCCATAATGGTATGGTCAATGCAACTCAATGGTTCAAACTTGAACCAATGCGCGTCTCGGTACCAGGGCCACTTGTCGCCCGCTGGCCACTCACAAACGTTCTTTCGATCATAGCAGTAGAGGTGTCACAGCGGTTGGACTGACAAATAATTAACATCGATTTCCTTAGTGTGTCTTGACGGTGCTACAGTGACACTACCCAGTGCTGTTATTGTGCGTAACTAGCCCCCTTAAGTCACACTTTTGGGAAGTGTCGTACCTTTGGAGCATGTTTCAAAAAGAAAACCTCAGTGAAAACCTCGGGACCAGTTACGTCTAATTAGAACACTGGATAGTGCCACTGCAGCACCACCAAGATGCAATAAGGATATCATTTTAATCATTTTTGTTTCAAATTACGCTATCAACGCTTTGTAACAACACCACACTTCTTCCTTTCTTGGTAGCCCAAGAGTGTATCCCGAGTCCGCGACAGCTGCGGTTGTCGCGACCTCCACCGTCCTGATAGCAGCAAAATTTAATAAGGGTCGTTGTCAGTCTAGAATTACCGCTTTTGAGCCCTTTCAAAACCGTACATTACGGGCCTGCGGGCTTGAAAGTGACAACTTAATCGGAATGAATGATGTCAGTACAGATGGACGTATGCGATTGGCATAGCCGGCGGCAGGGGGCAGGCGCCGAAAAGCGCATTGATAAGTTTGCACCAGTACGTCTTTATATACCATGTGATACCCGTTTTCCCAAAGCCGAAGTGCGCCTCGCAAACAGCCCCTGTGCTCAACGACATAGAGTAGATATCAAAGTCATAGTGTAACATTTCGTTGAATTTGCAGGTAATAGCCATATGTTCGCGTTTCATTTTCTCTAAAAAAAAAAGTGTTCCCAGCTTTCGTAGCATTTATTACACAAGTAGGTATTGCATTTTTTATTATTATATAATAAACAAGTATTATTATTAGTATTTAACAAGTATTTTACAAGTATTTTAGTGTTTTTACAAATATTTTAGTACTTTAATATTTAGTATTATAGTACTAAAGTATTTTCACAAATAAGTGTTTTGCGAACAGTACATAATGCACACGCTGAAGAGAATGTTCCACACCTGAAGATATTGAAGCAGACATGATATTTAATGGGACTAGCTCACGTACAGCTATTGATATACTTCTGAATGGAAAAAACTGCTCCAGACAACTCAATTTCTTTGTTTAGTAAATACGCTCATCAACACGGCATTATTTGATGACGTCATCGTACCTTGCACAACATTGACTGAGAGCCAATAGACGGCTGTATATCTGGAAATCATGCTCATGAAAGACAGATGTGAACAACTCTACAATTGTATTTTTGACCTTGATTGCTGCATGGCTAATGAAATGACAGGATTTTTATGACGATGTTTTGACGTCATGGATGCCAGGGTGACCTTGAAATAATTTCCCCGAAAAAGTCTGCACATCGTTGCGGGCGTGTAGCTCAGAAACTAGAGTGGTTTAGGTCTTAAGAAGGCAGGGCTTTGAACTGCACCGAATCTTCAAGGTTGGATGTTTCGGTTCAACATCCCATACAATTGTGGAACACTCCCGTAAACGAGCGAAGAAATTAAATGTCTTGCCTTCATAGTGGTGAGCAGGGAATCCAATTAGATATCTCTCACACGAGCGACGTCTTTAAATCGAAATTATGAGCTATTTATGAAGACGGATTTCGAGAAAGCTGGTGTTACCGATCAAATCGGACGCGTCGGGTCTAACAATAAGGGAAAAGTGCAAAAAGATGGTTTTCTCGCTATAAAGCATATGTGGTGTACTTCACCCATCCGCATTGCGTCCTGAAATATATGTGGTGTCTACGATTGTATTATTGTAGAACTAGCAGAAAGTTTACATTCTAACGAAGTTAAATACTAACAGCTCACAGATGTTAGGAAAATTAGTCTGTTTCCGTCGCGCATAAAAAACGATTACAATCAGATGAGGTTAATCCGCCTGATCCCGTCACACATCTAAAAAAGATGGTGTTAAACGAGTTCATTTACATCATGGGTGGCGTAAGCGAATGAGTTAGATTTTAAATCTGCACACTCGTACTTGTTGTTCATTCGGCTTGATCGGGTACATAACAAATGTCACAATGCATACTTCCTTACCTCAGATAGTGGTGAGAAACCATCAACATGTGTTGCATAAGCTGCGCTGTTTCAGGGACATTTTCACAAGAAGTGACAAGGAATGTTGACTACAGTTATTTAGCTGTAAAGATGGCTATATCCAGCTTAATCTAATCCAATTTGATTGGGTCCCGCCGGATTGCCCCATCCAGCACCGTATCAGTATGCCTGAGGTGTACGAGATGGACACCCCTATTTACATTAATTCAATCACTCCGTGAGCAGAGTTGCACCATGTTGTCATCATAAGGTCGATATTCAGCCATTAACATGTTGTCTTCCAGGTTGTACTACATGACGTACGGCAAGAAAGTGAAGGAGAACAGGGCCTTAACAAGAAAGACAAGGAGGGCGAGTACAAGTCGAAAGCAAGAGGAAGTTTCTGGAACGCTGGGCGGTCCGGGAGGCGACGCAGACGCAGCCGTCGCCCCAGCGACAACACAACTGGAGCAGGTTCACTCCCTGAATGGTGCCTCAAATGTCGTTTTCGTCGACTCCTCGGGACATTTCCTGAATGAGTGGCTCGTTGCAACGGAGCCATCAGAGCCGGGCGACCCGGATGGTGGCTCGTATGCCTCTGCTGACGCTCCCGGTGCCGACGACGCCTGGTCGGCGGGCCCTACGGACGTGCCTGCCGAGGACCCGAGGCCGCAGGACTCCGCTGCGACCGCGACCGTCGACCAGATCGCACAGTGGGCAGCGTTCGTGAACCAGCAGATTCTGGAAGAAGACGACGGCCAGTGGCAGGCCGCCTCAGACGCTTTTCTGCGGCAGTGGGAGAAGCTCACCACCGCCGGGAGATTGTCGGCTCTGCGCGAGTTTGGTCGCGCGTCGAGACGCAGTCGAGGCGCCGCGCCCGTCGGCGCGCGATGCGCGAGCGTGGCCGGCATCTCCGGAGGACGTGTCGGAGTGACAGTGTCTGCCGCTGGCCCGCGAGAGGTGTCCCGGGCTGAGTAGCCCTGCGCTGCCCAATCGCTGCCCATCAGTCAGCGGCTCCACGAACTCTAGCTACTCGCATGGACACCAGGCGTGTTGCAATTCTTGACGTGTTCAGAGCTGTCGCCGCCTGGCTCGCACTGGGTTAGTTGGCGGCAAGCCCTGAAAGTGGGCCCAGACCCCATGCTCCCCATATCTTTTTGTGCGTGCGTAGCGTATGTGGTAGCTGGATGACTGGATGGATGGCGGCTGGAAGGATATTTGCCAGTTCGTATGCTCCACCGTGCGTATTCGTATGCGTTCCATGTAATACCATCCATAGCGTTATGCCCTCACGCTTTCAATGGAATTGTTGTGCTTATCGCCTGCATTCCAGCTGTGACACAGAACAAGGGATTAATAAACAGATTTCCCCCGAAAAGCCTTGATATGAAAAGCTGCCCGATGCTCGTGCTACCAAATGGTCGGGTGTATTTGCCTGAGGTTACGCGAATGCAGTCTCTCACGTTATACCCGTGAGGTATATTCACAGCGTGGTATATGAGTGTGCGTAGTATGAGCAATGCATGGCGGTGACATGCAAATGGTGGGCGAGATGCAACCATTTGTTTCCACGCCCAAAATGGGGGAAATATCTTTAAAATGTTTTAGTGCAAGGTTGATAGGTGCGAGCAATGGCCGCTTGTGATTGAAATATTGTTGAAATGTAACTGCTAGCGGTCCGTGCACGTATGTATATATTTAAAGCGTAGTGATGTATTTGAATTCAGGGTTGACTTCCGATTTCCATTCAAATGTAGTTGCAAGTAAAATGTAACGGCACCCGCTGTCCGCGAATATGTAGTCCGTTTTGCGGTGTCCCAAATACAGATGTGCGATGAGGTTGGCTTATTTTTCGACGAATGTGAGATCCCGGATGACTATCCAGGGGCGCCACTTCATATACTCTCGGACTGCCGGACCCTCCTCTCTCCACTAATGCTGATTTGACCCCGCGCTTCTCGCTATCCCCCTCCCCCCCCCGCCGATGCCCAAGTAAAAAGTAAACACTGGCTCCCAAAAATGAAAATTTTCTGAACTGTCGGCACACGGCACGCCTAAACACATCCCAATGAGTATGCTAATTTGGTACGAAATAGTGTCTCGTAGGTACCTAATTTTTGTCATGGTAATCGGTAACTCACCTAGATATTTAGCCAATCTGAATTGTTGACAGGTTTCTCATCAGATAACACAGATGGATTTGGACAACAATGAGGGCGGAGTTATTACACAAAGTGAGTTGGGGGGGGGGGGCTGTATTGCGAAATTGTGAACTTTTCCTCCAAGACTCAACAGCAAATGGTTTTCTCCCTGGAGTTGGCCCAATTTTTCTCTCAAGGTAGGGGGGGGGGGGGGGGACTGAGGCCCACGTTCGCAGAACTGACCCCTCCCCCCACTCCCGTAACTGAAGAGGAAACTACACCTCTGAATGGACCGCAATATCCGCCAATTTTTAAAGCACTAGGTGCCCAGATTTTCGTTAACCAACTTTGTTCCTGCAGTGGCAGGCGTACGAGCAGTAACAGTGGCGGTCATCAGATACCACATTCGCTATATCGCGACTGCAAAATATATCTCAGATCGACCTTGGTGGCCCAAGATGCGCAAAAGAAAGTTTTTAGTTGTTTCGCATGAACAATCCACAGGTTTAGTGGGTACTTAGTTACGGATGCAGCCGATAAGTGATAAAATCTTAAATACACGCGTACAAACACACAAACACGCACACACAAAGACACACACACATACACACACACACACACACACACACACACACACACACACACACACACACACACACACACACACACACACACACACACACACACACACACACACACCACACACACACAACACACACACACACACACACACACACACACACACACACTCACGTCACGTTTGTAGAGTTGCTGAAGTGCTTGGCGAGCAGATCGACTAGGTGAACGTGCCCACACTGCTGGCAAACCCGCGTGCATACGAACGGAATGACAGTGGCTAAAAAGTCGGCTTTTCGGATATCTTGAAGAAGACGATTGAAAAAAGTTGATTGTTCGTTTGATCTTGTGGGCGGTAATGCTTCCCATGTTAACTCTAAAGGCAACCTTGAGTTCTTGAAGGTTGCTGGCTTGCCCATGTGGACGTGGTTCTCGAGGCTACACCACAACAATAAGTCCGGAGGCGGCAGGCCGGGCGGGCGGCCGAGTGAGAAGCCTGGACACGGTAGTCTTTATCTTATGTGCGTTCTGGGGCATTGTTTCTCCAACTAATCTACCTACCGATCGATCCGGCAGTGATCAGTTCGGTAGACTCTAAGCTATGGGTTGTTTGCAAACAATAATTTTGGACTCTAAATTTTGACGGCAAACGATCTGACCTAGGGTCACCAGATTTGGAACTGCAATAGGGAAACAGGTACAGGTATGGGGCGTCCAATGGTGAAGGGTTCATAGTGATCGGTCCAGTAGGCTCTGAGGTCTGAGCTATCTGCATTTACGTGTAAAATTTTCCCTTCGCGTTTTCGAGGCGTTTGACCTCAGGTCAGGTTTCAATATTGCCTCCCGTGACTCACCTCATTGTACGGAATCGATTGGTAAACGTTTCAAGGCGGTCGGACGAGCCGTTTCAGAAGACTTGCGTGCCTGCGCCATGTGCTGGTTTTTTCAGACCCTACCTTGCCGGTCGCTATTGATCTCACAATGAGATCGTGTGCGCATGGTGACACCCGCCGCGCACAGCCGCATGTGTTTAAATCGGTGCCGTATTTGCAAGCCACTGCAGCGGCCAGCCCGCCAGCATTAAGTGAGACACTGTCGGGGCGTCAACCGAATAAAATGGATTCCATTATCCAACACGTGTGTTGCACTGGCAGCGGATAGTTCTTTATCGATATTATTAAGTGCAGACCGTCACACTCCTCGCGTGAGATATGACCCGTTAACCGATCTGACGTATTTTAGCTATTACGTTACGGGCAGGCCAGCTGTAGTTAGCAACAGGCCTCTGAGTTAAGCAACAAAGACCATGTCGTCCGAAGAACGATTTACATTGGCGGCCGATAGTGCTTTCACCATTACAGCGCCCGCACCAGGTCGGACCCACCGCGCATGAATACATGTTGTTTTAATGGACAGGGCAGGTCAGTCGATCTTAACAATGTGCCATGAAGGGATGACCTAAACAAGAAAAATGCTGGCCGATGAGCGATTTAAGTTGCAGGCGAGTAGTGCTTCGAAAACATTATCGTTTGCACATGCTCTCACCCGCTGTGCACGACTAAAAGTTTTTAAATATAGCGCAGTGACTTTGCAAACAACTCCTGCAGCCGTCATGCCAACATTGACTGAGACGCTGTTAGGAATTAAACCGAGTGAAATGCATGCCGCAGTCAGACAAGTGTGTTATACTGTAACCTCATGGCCCTATATCAACGCTATTGACTACAAAGCCGCGCCCTTTGCACGCGACTATAGGTATATTTCCTGGCCGCCATATTTTTGCCATCACGATACGGGCAGGCTGGCGTGAGTTAGCTATGAGCAGGCAGGAGGCAATTTGAACAAAATGTAGCACGTCGGCCGATGGGTAATTTACAATGTCGGCCAATAGTGCTTTCGCTATGGCATCATATGCACACGGTGGCACCCGCCGCGCATGACTAAAGGTAGTTTAAATTTAACATCGTAACTTTGCGAATCGCTCGTACGGCGGATGCGACCATGTGCAATTTTTCATGGGCATGTGTGTTTTTAACTGGCGCCGTCATCACTCCGCAGGAAGGCCGGCTCGAGTTTGCAATTTGTCGTCAAGGGATGATATGGTAGATATGATATGATAAGATATGATATATATATATATATATATATATATATATATATATATGTGTGTATATATGATATCTGGACATGACATGGTCGGATATGAACAATAAAGGCAATTCCGGCCGACGATCAATTTCCGTCGGCGGCCGATAACACACAGTGACATCGCGTGCACAAGGTTGTGTCCACCACGCAGGATCGTTTCTAAATAGCACGCCGTAACATGGCGGCCGTCGCGGCTGCGGCCGATGCTCCAACTCCGAGTGTAACACGGTTAGTGGATCGACCGGATAAAATGGATGCCCTTAGCGGACAAGTGTGTTGCACTCACAATTAAAAGCCATATGTCAGTACCCTCACACTCACATTGTCGGACCCGTCCCGTACGATTATGAGTATTTTCCCGAACTGTGGTATTCTGGCCAGCTCGCTACGGGCTAGCCGGCTGTAGTAAGCACTGCGCCGGCAAGGGGTGATTTAAGCAAACTAAGGTCATGTCGGTCGTTGAACGATTCACATCGCTGGCTAGAAGTGTTCCCACATTGACATCTTGTGCACATGGCGCACCCGCTGTGCACCACCAAATAGATGTATATATATATATATATATATAATATAGATGTATATATATATATATATAATATGTTATATATTATTATATCTATGATATGCATCTATTGGCCGATATATAATCCCCTCTCTCTTCTCTCTCTCTATCTCTCTCTCTCTCTCTATATCTCTCCTTCTCTCTCTCTCTCTCTCTCTCTCTCTCTCTCTCTCTCTCTCTCTCTCTCTATCTCTCTCTCTCTATCTCTCTCTCTCTCTATTTTCTCTCTTTCTCTCTCTCTCCTCTCTACTCTCTTCTCTCTCTCTCTCTTCTCTCTCTCTCTCTCTCTCTCTCCTCTCTCTCTCTCTCTCTCTCTCTCTCTAATATGTTCTGTAACTTTGCAAATCGTGGGTGCAACCGACCGCCAGGATTAAGTAAAATTCTGTCGAAGGGTCGGCCGAATAAAATGAAACTGGAGGCGGTACAAGTGTGCTGTACTTTCAGCGGATAAGTGTTTTGTACTCGTAGCTGAGAGCCCATACTAGAGCTGTGGAATACACACAGCTGCCCTGACGGCGCGAGATCATAAGCGTTCTCCCATGCCGCTGTGTTCTGGCCATCACGCTGCTGGTACGCAGGCAGCAGTTAGTAATGCACCTAGGAGGATGATTTGAACACAAAACTCCATACCGAAATGGGCAGGGGAGGCTGACCGCAATTAGCGATGCGCCGGTAAGTGGTAATTTGAACAAAAATGAACACGTTGGGTCATGAGCGATTTACGTTGACGCCCAATAATGCTCTCACAATGACATGGTGCACACATGGTGTCACCTGGCGCAAACGACCAACGGTTTTTTTAAGAAAAAAGGCCATACCTTTGTCTATCGCCGACTCCGCCGACTGCTAGCATTGAGTGAAACGCTGTCGGGGAGTCCACCCAATCACATGGATATCTTAATCTGAATACTGTGCTTTACTAAAAACCTGATAGTCCTATATCAGTGCTATCGAATGTACAAAGTAGCAATATTCGTGCTCGATTTTAAATACTTCCCATGGCCACCGTATTTTAGCCATCACGCTGCGTGCAGGCTGGCCCGTGTTTGCATCGTCAAGGGGTGACATGAAAAGGAAAGATCAGGCTGGCTGACGAACGATTTATGTTGCGGGCCGCTGACACATCTGCAATGGCATCGCCTGCACGTGGTTTGGCCCATGGCGCACGGTTACATTTCTTCTTCTTTTTAATTGTGCGGTTCAGCTTTTGAAATCGCCAGAACTGCCACCAGCAATAAGCGAAACGCTGTCGGAGGGTCGGCCAAAATAAAGCTGCACTTTTCGAGCGCGATGATAAACATTTTCTCCGCACTGCCGTCTTCTGGTCACCCAGCCACGAGTGGGCCAGGAGCAATTAGCAATGCGCCGCCAAGGGATAAACTGAACAAAAAAGAAGACGTCGACCGTAGGAAGCTTTGAGAGTTTAAAGATACCATGAGGAAGCTGTAGGTCCCGAAGCACCCAGGAGAGCATCTCAATGGCAAGAATAGCGGTACGGCGACTACGGTAGCCGCGGTATCTAGAGTGGTCCCTCAAGGGATGCCCAGGGGGTCCTTGAACAAGGATGGAACCTTGAGCGTTTCATACGACGTAGATTTAGATGTAATTGGAGTCGCACGTTTGTTTTAACATAGCCAGCCCATGTTACCCCGCGAATATTTCACTTTCAGCCAGGATCGATTGGTGAGAAAAAGTATGTAACATAGATTTAATTATGCGCTCTCTCATGTCTTGGGGACAACTGCCTGACGCCCGGGAGGCAGTAGGAGGACAGTCGTGACAAATGCCCGACGCCCGGGAGGCAGTAGGAGACAGTCGTGACAAATGCCTGACGCCCGGGAGGCAGTAGGAGACAGTCGTGACAAATGCCCGACGCCCGGAAGGCAGTAGGAGACAGTCGTGACAAATGCCCGACGCCCGGGAGGCAGTAGGAGACAGTCGTGACAAATGCCTGACGCCCGGGAGGCAGTAGGAGACAGTCGTGACAAATGCCCGACGCCCGGGAGGCAGTAGGAGACAGTCGTGACATATTCACTCTTGCGATTTTAGATTGGTAATAGGGACGGATTAGTACTTGCAGCACTGCAAACTGGTGCTGAAATCTGGTGACGAAACCGGAAGAATAGATTATGTCTATTTTTCCTTTACTGAAGCTAGGAAAAAGAAATAAAAGGGAAATAGACGCCTGGGTGTAATCCTTCAATGGTACGAACTGACTGCAAGACTTCCGGAAGCTGTTTTTCACGGCGGTTGTCCTCACGCGTACAGCGCCCGCCAGGTGCTATCTGCAGCGGCCAAGGCCATTTGGTTTTACGGAATCTACAACCCCGGCTATAGAGTTGCTCTAGCTCCTACGATTGGGAGCGCACAGTCCCAATCCTTTTAGTGCAAGACGTTTTTTAAGGTCAATTTGCTTATACATGGATGCTTTTAGGAAAATGTAGGCTGGCTTTTTTGTTTTTGGCCTCGTGTCGATTTGCTCTTTTGAAGTCTTATAAGGACATTTATCTTTTTCCGAGCAAGGCTGGGTGAAATATAAGGGGCACATTATCGCTTCTGGCTAAGGGCTGAAGAGCTATTTTGTCTCAGCGCATGGCTGCCTACCAGCTACCATTCCGGCGAGGCGTGACGTGAGTCGTAAGGTAGATCTGGAAGCACTTGGATACATGATAAAACAGTCCTCTCCCACATGGCGGAAACGCTCTGACCCGAGCAGTCAGCCCCAGTTGACTGCAGATGCGAGATGCAGATCAGATGTAAGATGCAGATCGATCCAATTTTGTAGCTTTAAACATTTTAAAAAAAGGACCTGGTGCAACAATTAATTAGGGAGGGGGGAGCAGTGAACATCAATGATCGGTAGAACAAAGAAGACTATCACACATGAATAAAAACGGACACCCCTGGCAACAAACTAGTCATGGGTAATCTCACCATTCGGTGACCTTCAGAAAATAAACTATGACGTGGATAATGGTCCCATGATTTCGCATTGAAGCGTCGGGAGAGATCACGAATCTTCTTAAATGTGCTCTTTGGATGAAGTCAGTGTTTTAGTACCACATGAGGGACACCACGGTCACGAGACGCACATGGCGCCTGGAGTGTAGGCGGCGCGCCGGCCGGGAAGGGGCGTTCGCCGTATTTGGCTGTTGGCTGGCGCTGGGTGCGTGTCGTGGGCTGGGGTCGGCCTGTGGAATGCGCCGTGGTGCGAGGGAATACGGACGTGACGCCAGTTAGGTAAGTGCGTCTTGGTTTGCTTGTTGGCTTCACAAAGTTGCATTTTCTGGTAACCTATTGGGCGGTTCGGGTCTGGTAACTTCTTGTGGTACCTAGATTTCCGGGATCGACGTCGGACCAAATCTGCAACAAACATGAATGTAGCCGACGTAGCTGAGGCTGGAGGTGGGGTATGAATCAAGATTGTGGGGTTTGACTGGAAATGGGGGAAGGTTTGCCCTGAAGATAATTTGTTTGGGTGGGTACTTTGACCGATATGCTTCGTGTGTGTAAAATTTGGGAGAAGGGGGGGGGAGGGGGTGCGTGGGTACTAGCAAAATCCTATGCCAGAAAATAGAGGGATTATGCTACCTTGCCTCCAGTGATAGCACTTATGTGTTACAATGGGTTCTTTCAATGAATTTTCTTTAATTGTATAGATGGCTAATAGCAATGTGAAAAGTCATAAAATGATGGAAAAACTCAGAAGCCAGGGCATGTTCAAGAAAAGCCTGGGAAGGGGGGAGGAGGGTAAAATAATGGGAAAACTAAATGGATTGTCATAGTGTGGATGATGGATTCAGGGTTCATGCAACAGGTTCTGCTTAAGGAACACTCAGAACTACAACATTACAGTAACTGCCTGCTAGAAATGTGCTTCTGGTACCTCCAAACAGGTTACAATGTCATATGCTTTTGGGTGTGTGACAGGGTTGCCAACAGCCAGTGTGCATGGGGAAACCTGTTGCCACCAGTGCTGTCAAAACTGCCTGTTGCCTGCAATTTATTGTCACTAAACATTTTTGTAAGCTTCCATTTTAGAAACATTTTGATTCAGATTGTTTTCCTCCCCCATATTCTGATCTGTCCCACCAGTCTCTGACTTATGGTTACACCCCAGGTGGCAGGGGTGCCTCACATCACAACAGACACCATCATGATGCCCAGCATGGGTACATCACAAGTGAAAAGGGATTTATCCATAGATGACACCTTAGTGCATGTACCATCTCATTGTGTAGACACTCACCTGAAACAAGAGCAACATTACTATGCCTGTAAGTGGAGAATCTGCCAGTCTTAACACGCTCCTGGTGGCCGCCTACATACCCTTTGCTTTGGTGGGGGTTGATTTGCCCCCCTGAGATCTCAGGAACTAAGAAAGTTAGAGACACCAAATTTATAGGGTGTCTTTACCTGCATGTGAACTCACTCAGGTCAATGTTTCAGGTTCCTAGGTCATGACCTTCAGGCCAAAAAATGTCAAACAAGGTCAAGTTCCAGGTTGGTCTCTAAAGTGCTCCCAAAACCTAGATAACCATTTCTAAGCAAAAGGTCAAATCCTCATTCAAGGTCAGTGATGTTTGACCTTTTGAAGGTCAAGATGACCAAAATAATACAAGATTGCTTTGAGTTTTGCATTGGACTAAGCGACAAAGATTACGCTAGGCAGTATGTTCCTAAAACAAAATGTTGACCTGGGTCATTTTAGGTCAATGACCTATCCTGATTTCTAAGAAGTCCATGGAGGATGTATAATGCAGTTCCTGCTATCAATAAAGTCGAAATGAGCACCAGAAACTATTCCATACAGCAAGCCATAGAGTAACAAAACAGGTTGACTTTGACCTTGGTGTGACCTTCATGCATGACCTTAGGTGACTGTAATTTGCTCATTTAACTGTTATGATGCCTAAGAAAGCATCTCAGAAATGTATGGCTTCATCTAACACTTCATTGTTGGATTATATTGAAGGATTCCCTAGAAATTGCCTTCGCCGAAGCCATGGTCTGACTTTGACCTGTCATAGGTCAGCGACCTCACGAGGTACATCTAAATTTTGATGCCAAACGATCCGCTATTCAATGGTCTACAGCTAGGCCAGGTTTGGCGCGGCTACGCCGCGCCGTTCGCAAACCATTCTGGAAAAACCGTCGGGGGGGGGGGATCAGTTTGACCCTCCACCACCCAAGCGCGTGTCACAGTTTTAAAATAGATTTCAGGCCCCTTCTAAACATGTGCTTAAGGTACTCCACGCTTATATTATTTTTTAACATCTGCTGGCTTGGTAAGCCTGCTAATTTCATGTTAAATACTGTAAGCTACCAATACAGATAACAGAAAAGTCATCACTGCCAAGAGAAAGATACTGTATTTGTTACTTTGCTGCACTGGGTTTGAGGCTGTCAACGTGCACATTGGATGACCTGACTTGTACAGAAGTGTCCGCAGAAGCCCTAACTGCGGTAAAGCCCCAGCTTGAAGTTTTTACTTCTCACACTGCGGTTTTCAAGATTGAGACAACGAGCTTAGTTCTCTTAAATTAAAGTCACTTATGTGTATAATCCCAGTTTGCAGGATGTCTGAAGACATGAATTTCGCTAAGAAGGGTGTTGGCGGCATGGCTGGAAGTCCCATGGAAATTTGATGAGTTAGGATTCCTTCAGATTTGATTAATTTTACCCTATGCATGTGGCTTAGTCCATTGAGTGGAAAGCTTGAACTTTTTGCTGTTATAACTTACTTCCATGGTAATTTTCTAAAAAAAAGATTCCACAGAATCCATCTAAACAGAAAAACTCGCTCAAAACTTGGCATGCTTGCAAAGATGTGGCCATGCTAAAATTGCTGAATCAATGTCCCTTTGTTATTATAAACCAGAGCTTAATGCAAGGGATTCATGGTGGTAGCCTGAGCCACCGGTCCTTTCCAGTGCTCACACTTAATGCAACATTCATTTTCGAGATCATTGGCTTAAGTGTGCACTCACCACATGCTATACCATTGTTCGTATGTTGTTTTTGTAGCCAAGATAAACATTGTTCAGAGCTGAAACTCCTTCCCATTGAGATTGTCCTGGACATCCCAGAAAACTTGTGGACTATAATTTCTCAGCTTGTGACATTTTTTTCAACTTAAGCTGGCACTGTGGAGTCGTAATGTTGAAATTTTTGTCCCGTCTTTCGGTTCTTTTTAACATATACCTTGGGACATATGGTTACTGTTCCCTCTGTTATTGTGCATGTGGATTATATCAGCTGTTTTTGAACCAAAAAATGATGTTGTCCCTCTGCTGTGAGGAGAAACACCTGTCTTCAGTGGCTGACATTGGTCAGTGGTGCTCCAAAAAGGGTTGTGCAACATCGGTGACCGCAAGCATTTGATAAAAAGACAGGCTGTTGGTGAGAGCTGAGAGCAACCTGGCTGTTCATGAGAGCTGGGGACAGCAATCTGTCCATGCAAACTCAAGTGAACTCACTTTGGCTGCTGCTATGTGTTTCACAGTCTAGCGTCGGGCGAAGCCAGGAACGATGGAGGCGAACGGCTCCCCGGCCCGAAACACGGCGACAGTCGTGTTGGGCGCCCAATGGGGCGACGAGGGCAAGGGCAAGATTGTGGACCTGCTGGCCAGTGAGATGGACCTCGTCTGTCGCTGCCAGGTAAGGTCACGTGCTGGCACCAGTTGGCACCAGTCTGCAGACCGTTCCCATGCTGCTACAGCAGCTGTGGTCAGCCCATGCCTGTCAGCGCTAGCAGTTCAACTGAGCCTAACCTGTAGGTGGGCTGCTGTGTTGAATGACCTGCACACGGATATGTATGTGTGACGTGTACGGGTCCAACGGACTTACGCTTACGACGGCTGTTCACAAGGACCGCATCGCTTCTGGACAATGACGGACATTTTAACCGTTCATGTGTCGTCCTCTTTCAGGGCGGCAACAATGCTGGCCACACGGTTGTCGTGGATGGTGTGGAGTACGATTTCCACATTCTGCCCAGCGGCATCGTGCATCCGCACTGTGTTGCTGTTATCGGTGAGCGCGATAGACGTCTGTAATCTGTGGATATACCACTTATGGTATCGTGCCTTCGGGAACAGATACTGTTTGGATATCTCCCTTCCTCGGCAGGGCGGGCGGGAGGATGTCAGTTTGTTCCCGGATCTTGCGAACACGGACTATATTCCTGTGGCATCGGGAATTTAGTGTAAAGTGGCTCAGAGGCACACCCCTCCCCTGGCTACGTCCCTGGCTTGACGGTATAGGTTGCAGCTAGGTAGCACCCAAAGCATGTAATAAGTGTATGGTTTTTAAAAGGATTGTCTGCCATCTTTTTAGGCTTTATCACAATCAGATGCGCACGATTTGATCAGTAATACCCGTTTTTTTCGAAATCCCTCTGATTAGCCCAGGCTTTGGATTTGAAGTAACCACTCCTGCGGGAGACACCTCATTTGACTCCTTGCTCACCACTATGAAGGTAATGCATTTCATTTGCCCTTCTTTTTCAAACGTGTGTGTTCTGTAATGTCTGCAGCACGTTTATGTGTCAAAATGTTTGTGTAATAAGTGTTACTGAAGCTTCAAACACTCTGTTAAGGCAAGAATATATCGGAACACGAAGCTGTTATCCCGCGAATTTAACGAAACGTTATCCGAGGGCTTTGATTTGTCCCGTATAGCGTTTTCCACAAGGACAATTCGAGGTGCACTTTGGGACTCACATGGAATGAGACTATCACGTGGTCCATAATGACGCACTAGTTCAAACTTCAACCGGTGCGTTTCTTGGTGACAGACCCTTGCCGCCCGTTGGGGTAATCACGAACGTTCTTTTATTCGCACCAGAGGAGGTGCGCACAGCGGTTGTCATGACAGCGGTGGTCGTCACTACAGGAAAGAAGTGTGATGCCGTTACAGGGCGTTGACAGCGTAGTTTGGACCTGAAATTAATTGAACTTGATATCCTTATTATGTTTTGGCGGCGCTGCAGTGTCACCACCCATTGCCATTCTTGGACGTGGCTGGTCCTGACGTTTCACTGGAGCATGCTTTTGAAATATGCCCAAAGGAGAGACACTCCCTTAAATGAAACTGGGGGCTGGGTAAACTGGGTAAAAAGGGGGCTAGGCTCTGCGCGATTATCAGCTCCCTTGCAAGTACGGTCGACACACTGCCGTGCTGTACTGATGTCCAGTCTCTTGAGCAGATGAGTGCCAGGCCGTGGCCAACTTTCCCCGTTGTGTTGCGATCGAGTCCGACGACAATAACGAGGCTGATTAGAAAAAAACTGGCCGTACAGACCGGATAGACGTGCCTAATATGTAGAAAAGTCGTGTAGTTTCTTTCGGCCTAAGGTCTGACTCACTCCCTTGAAGTGTGTGACCACTCTCCGTACCATGGCTCTCCGAGCGCTGATAGTCTTGGGCTATAGTTTGGCTTTATATTCGCTTAGTAATTTCCTTTTCCCCACGACATCGAATAATCCCATCTGCGTGGGCGATTGCACACTTGTAAAGCCAGGATCGGAGAGCCCCAGAGGTAATGGTGATGCGGATCAGCTGTGGCAGTGTTCGCTGTTCGGACTGTCTGCAGCCTGCGGTGTGTGGAACCTCGGCGTAAGGCGTTCCTGCGTCACCCTGCTATCACCCGCCGACGGTCGTTACCCATCCTCTCACTGTCGTCACCCCCTCTCGCAGTCGTCCATCCCCTCACGGCCCTTACCATCCACCGACGACCGATACCAACCTTTGACCGTCGATGCCGTCCCCTGACAGTCGGTACTACCGGCAGTCAGTCGTGCCGTCCCCTGACGGTCGGTGACACCCGCTGTCAGTCGTACCATCCCTTGGCAGTCAGTACTACCCGCTGTCAGTCGTACCATCCCTTGGCAGTCAGTACTACCCGCTGTCAGTCGTACCATCCCTTGGCAGTCAGTACTACCCGCTGTCAGTCGTACCATCCCTTGGCAGTCAGTACTACCCGCTGTCAGTCGTACCATCCCTTGGCAGTCAGTACTACCCGCTGTCAGTCGTACCATCCCTTGGCAGTCAGTACTACCCGCTGTCAGTCGTACCATCCCTTGGCAGTCAGTACTACCCGCTGTCAGTCGTACCATCCCTTGGCAGTCAGTACTACCCGCTGTCAGTCGTACCATCCCTTGGCAGTCAGTACTACCCGCTGTCAGTCCTACCATCCCTTGGCAGTCAGTACTACCCGCTGTCAGTCGTACCATCCCTTGGCAGTCAGTACTACCCGCTGTCAGTCGTACCATCCCTTGGCAGTCAGTACTACCCGCTGTCAGTCCTACCATCCCTTGGCAGTCAGTACTACCCGCTGTCAGTCCTACCATCCCTTGGCAGTCGGTACTACCGGCAGTCAGTCCTACCGTCCCCTGACGGTCGGTACCACCCGCTGTCAGTCGTACCATCCCTTGACAGTCAGTACTACCCGCTGTCAGTCCTACCATCCCTTGGCAGTCGGTACTACCGGCAGTCAGTCCTACCGTCCCTTGGCAGTCAGTACTACCGGCAGTCAGTCCTACCATCCCTTGGCAGTCAGTACTACCCGCTGTCAGTCGTACCATCCCTTGACAGTCAGTACTACCCGCTGTCAGTCCTACCATCCCTTGGCAGTCGGTACTACCGGCAGTCAGTCCTACCGTCCCCTGACGGTCGGTACCGCCCGCAGTCACTCGCACCATCCCTGACTGTCGGTACTACCGGCAGTCAGTCGTGCCGTCCCCTAACAGTCGGTGCCACCCGCAGTCACTCGCACCATCCCTGACGGTCGGTACTACCGGCAGTCAGTCGTACCGTCCCCTGACAGTCGGTGCCACCCGCAGTCAGTCGTACCATCCCCTGACGGTCGGTACCACCCGCTGTCAGTCGTACCATCCCTTGACAGTCAGTACTACCCGCTGTCAGTCCTACCATCCCTTGGCAGTCAGTACTACCCGCTGTCAGTCGTACCATCCCTTGGCAGTCAGTACTACCCGCTGTCAGTCCTACCATCCCTTGGCAGTCAGTACTACCCGCTGTCAGTCCTACCATCCCTTGGCAGTCAGTACTACCCGCTGTCAGTCCTACCATCCCTTGGCAGTCAATACCACCGGCAGTCAGTCGTACCGTCCCCTGACGGTCGGTACCGCCCGCAGTCACTCGCACCATCCCTGACGGTCGGTACTACCGGCAGTCAGTCGTACCGTCCCCTGACAGTCAGTGCCGCCCGCAGTCACTCGCACCATCCCTGACGGTCGGTACTACCGGCAGTCAGTCGTACCGTCCCCTGACAGTCGGTGCCACCCGCTGTCAGTCGCACCATCCCTTGGCGGTCAGTAACACCCGTTGTCAATCGTTCCATCCCCTGACAGTTTGTATTGGCAGTCGCTGCCAGCCCCTGACAGTCGTTGCCATCTCTTGACAGCTATGACCATCTCGTGACAGTCGTGACAATCCTCTGGCAGGCAACGGGGTGGTGATCCACCTGCCGCAAATGTTCGAGGAGATCGCCAAGAACGAGGCGAAGGGACTGACGCACTGGCGGGATAATCTCAAGATCTCGAGTCGCGCTCATCTGGTGTTCGATATGCACCAGGTCTGTGGCTGCCGCGCCGCCTGCGGGCGGTGGGAGGAGGGGGAGGGGGAGGGGGACGCTCCGGATTACGCCACCGCGGCTGTGTGTTTGTGCAAGTGTTCAGCCGGCTTGTGCAAGTGTGGGGCTGTCTTTGGCGCGTGGTGTGGGGTGTGCGATGGGGTCCAGGTGGGACGAGCGTAAGCTGAGTGGTATATCGCAAGGGTCTCCAAAATTCGATGGATACCAAGCCGGCCTCAGTCTTAATTTTCGTGGCACGTGCGCGGACATGGCCGTCCTGAGTTTGGAAACCGACCCGTGTCGGATTTCACTGACCATGGGGCGGCTGGTGGCCGCATCCGCCAGTGTGCCTGTCAGACTGACTCAGCTTGTATCCGTGGCCGTTGGGGACAAGCAAGCAGTTCAAACGTCATTTAATACTTGGGATGGTATGCTACCAAGTGCCTTGCATAGAATGGTTGGCGAGGCGCGAGAGATTACGCTCGTGTGTCGTGCTAGTTCGAGGCCTTTTTTTACGTCACTAGCTCGGCAGCCGCGTCGTGGGGACGTTCCGGGCAGCGCTGTCGATGAGAACGTCCGGAAATGACGTCGACACTGACTGCAATCATGGTTTTCCCCCGCCGCATATTCCAGCCTTGTGCTGAACGGAACAGCGGGGCCAACACCCGGTGTCTGGGCGCGTATTGGTGTGCGTCTTAGGTAGCCGAGCGTGCCCCAGCGACCGCGGCCCGCCTATTGCACCCAGTCCGCCTCACGCGCCGCTCGTCCCGGCGATCGGTCGCGGCTGGCACCCGGTCACGCGTCGGGGCTCGGGTCGCCGCCGCGCCGCCGCCGCCGCCGCCGCCGCCGACCGGCCGGCCGAGCCGAGCCGGCCTCGAGGAGCCTCGTCCGCGGTGCAGGACAGGCACGCGCTGGGGCTCGGGTCGCCACCGCCGCCGCCGCCGCCGACCGGCCGGCCGAGCCGAGCCAAACCGACCTCAGGGAGCCTCGTCCGCGGTGCAGGACGGGCACGCGCCGAGGCTCGGGTCGCGGCCGCCGCCGCGCCGACCGGCCGAGTCGGGCCGGCCTCGTGAAGCCTTGTTCTCGGTGCAGGACAGGCACGCGCTGGGGCTCGGGTCGCCGCCGCCGCCTTGCCGAGCCGGACCGGTTTCGAGGCCTCGTTCGCGGTGCGGGACGGGCGCGCCTTCACGCCGCCAGACGCCGTGTTGCTCATGTTGCTGGTGACCTGGTAGCCGGACTCCGCGGTGCTCTGATGTAGTATGTACCGTCTGAATGAAACGGGACCGAGCGCGACGTAGGGGGGCTCTGATGGCTGCCGGCGCCGGGCAGCTGTGTTTAATCGCTGTGTTTATGCGCTCCGGCCAGCCTGACGCGTCCGTGTAGGGCCTGCTGGCGGTAACTCGAGCCTCGCGCTGACCTCGTGACCCTTCTGGGCGGCGCTATATGGTGTAGCCAGGGCTGCTCAGATGAAATTTGCGGCGTTGTGCGGCGCGGAGTCCCTGCTGGAGAGACGCTCGGACTTGGCGGATCTGACAAATGCTTTCGAGGCCTCGCGTGGCCAACTTGTCAGGAGGCCATGTGTCCGGTGCGACCACTGGTGACACGAGCATGATCAGATGCATCACGAACATGTAAACATCCGTGTATGGCTGGAAGCCACGGCACTAGTTTCGGGAGCGAGGGTTCGGAGTTCGATGCCCGTCTCGGTGAGCCTCTCTGGCTGCATATCCTGACACCCGGCTGGGGGGATGTGCACGATCTTTGGAGTAGAATGCGTCGAAAATATTATGTTATTGCCACCAACTCGCGACCTACGAGGCTGGAGCGACCGCGTTTGCCGCGGTGGTTGCGTACCGTCTTCATCCTTTTTCCCGACTCGGCTAAGCACAGAAGCCCCCTCCCCCCCCCCCCCCCACACTGGCCGGTGATGGGCACATCCGGCGGCCGGGGCGGCCGGGAAGACCACCGCACTCCCGGTAAATACGCTCGTCTTTCGACGGCCGGGGCGCCAGCCTCCAGCCGCGCCGACTCTCTGCCGTGACGTGCCCCGGGAGGGAGGGAGGGTGCTGGGCGGGCCGTTGGCGTGCCCCAAGGGCGGGCCCGCCTCCGCCGCCGCCGCGGGTGGCCGCTCGATGCGCGGGATAGCGCGCCGCGCTGTGTGCGGACGGGAATAGTCGGGAGGGCGGAGTGGGGCGTCGCGGGTCTGACGGGTCGTGCCAGGCGGGGCGTGGCGGTGGGAGGCACGACCCGCGGCCGGCGCTGCACCGGGCCGAGCATGCCGGGCCGGCGGCATGCGGCGGCGGCGGCCAGCGCTCCTCCACGCTCCAAATATGTGGTGGTGACTGTTGAGGAAATGCGCGCACTTAGGATGCCAAAAATAGAGATCTGAGCGGTCTTTCATGGCGAAGTTACCAATTAAGCTCGATTGATTAGTATGGGTAGAATTGTATGTTATGTTTGTTTCTCCGTTAGTGGTGTTTATAAGCCTTCTGCTCCCTGCATGGGAACAGCAGAAAACAGCCACCGTTAATCTCTCGTCATGCATGGTGCCCAATGAGTGGTGTGCTACGGGCCTCACCAGAGTGCGGCCCGCGTCTATTGCGCTGCGTTTTGACCTCGGTGCCCCCTCCCCGCGCGGCAGGAGGTGGACGGCCTGCACGAGAAGGAGCGCGAATCGGAGACGAGCTGCGGCAAAAAGTCGCTCGGCACCACCAAGAAGGGCATCGGCCCCACCTACTCGTCCAAGGCCACCCGCAACGGACTGCGGGTGTGCGACCTGCTCGGCGACTTCAGCTACTTCGTGGAACGGTACGGCGCCGCGGTGTTGACACGACATGCCCGCGCGCGAGGGACTGGATTGTTGGAGCCGGGCCACTGCTGTAGCGGGTGCGCTGGTAAGCGTAATGACTGTGTTTGGTTGCCAGTCTTACGGATGCAAAACGGCAGCCACACGGGAAAGGCCACTTGTGTTGTTGGCAGTGTGCCGGTTGTGCGCCAGTGTACGCACTGGGCGTTGGAGGAAGGTGAAGTTGTCAACCGGAACGGCACGTCGGCTTATGTAGTGGTTGCAATTGGCAGGATCAGCGCACAGTCCGTCCTGCCCTCCGACGTCATCTGACCTTTTAGCGCGGCCGCTGCCACCGGCCGTAGGCTATACTTGTCAAGGGCAAATAACGAACGCCTAAAGCGTTCGCTATTTGCTATGCTCAAAATCCTAAACTTAATTGTATTATTTTACTACCTAAACTCAAAATCATTTCGCCCTGGGTGGTGGATCGGAAGGCAGGCGCTCTAACAAACTGAGTCACCTGGACTGACAATACCCTATTGTTTGGGAATCAGTACTGGCCTCTGGTGCCAGGCTCCCTTTGCCGTGCTCCCAGTGTTGTATTCTTCGTGTTGCCCGGCCCCACCGTCTCATGCTCTGGCCGCCGTGTTCCCCGTATTCTGTGCTCCTGCTGTCCTCATTGTCCTGCACTCTTCCTGCCTCGCGGTCAGCGCCCCACGTCTCCGATACCGCCGGTCCCAGCATGCTCCGGTCTCTCGCCGCCGCCCCCCCCCCCCCCCCCCATCTGCGCCTCCCTGGCCTTCCCTCCGCGCATCCCCGGTTCTCCATCCGCGCCCCCTCGGCCCTCCCTCCGCGCCTCCCCTGCCCTCCCTTCGTGCTTCCCCGGCTTTCCCTCCGCGCATCTCCGACCCTCGCTCCACTCCTCTCCGGCCCTCCCTCCGCGCCTCGCCGGCCGCCGGGTGACGTCGGGCCGTCGGCGTCAGCAGGTACCGGTCGCTGGTGGCGCTGCACAAGCGCATGTTCCCTGCGCTGGAGGTGGACGTGGAGGCCGAGCTGGCGCGGTACGCCGAATTCGCCGCCCGGCTGCGGCCGCTCGTCGTCGACTCGGTCAGCTATGTGAGCGGCGCGCTGGCCGAGGGCAAGCGCGTGCTGGTGGAGGGCGCCAACGCGGTCATGCTCGACATTGACTTCGGTGAGGGCCTGCTGTGGCCTGCTCTGCTCTGCTCTGACCTTTGAATGTCCGGTGCCCCGGGACGGCTCTTAAGGGCTGTTTGCACGGGCTTTGTTCCTAGATCTAGCTGTCGCTTGTTTTTTCTCTTTCCTGTTGCATGTCTGCTTGCCCCTTTTCCGTTTTCGGTGTGCTCTGCATGTACGATCATCTCCCCTGGCCACTGCATCCGGCCCTTATTGCATGCAAGGCTACAGCACCGCTCTGGACCGCACTGTTGGCAGACGGTGCCTGCATTGTGCGCACGGTGTTCTGGGACGACCAAAACGGCGTCCTTTGGCCTGTGCTCAGCGCCCTTGCCGCAGCGTGACACAGGTGGCGGGGGTCTGACCACGAGGCTGGCGTCGGCCCGTCGCGGCCGCGCCGCCAGCCGACGCGGCCGGCCGGCGGCGGAATGTGCTGCGTGGACGGCGGGCGTCGAGACGTGCCGGTGTGAGCCGTCGGCGTGCGACCGGCGTGGCGATACGGACGCTTGGACCCAGCCCCCGCCCGGCCGTCGGTCACAGTCGCCTCGGATAACGATGCCGTAGAGACTGACATGTGCTCGACGAAGCCCAGAAGAAGGCCGAAACCAGCGGCAAAAATTGATTTTGAGAATCCGGTGGCGCCGTAGATGGTGTCATTTTCCACCAACATTATCAAATTTTGACACGGTTGGTAGGAAATGCTGGGTTCTGTACAATGACGTTGTTGCCGAGGGACGTGTAATAATGTTATAAACTTGTCACGAGCTGATCAACCAGACAGCGTAGCTGTGGTTCGTTGGTTCACATGTCTGTCCGTGATAGAATCTTCAGTTCCAGTCGTGCTCATTGAGATCAGGCGAGCGTGGACAGCCGCGCGCCCAGCGCTGCACTACGTCCGCTGAATGTGCTGGCTGTGCAGGCCGTTTTCAAACCTCGAAGCACTGAAAAGATCAACAGGCACTACTTTACCCGTTCAGCAGTACCAGCTGGAGCGCCAGCTGTCCCGCCCCATCCTTTCTCTCTGCCCCGCACGGCGTGGTCGGCTGTCACACCTGGCGCGCTGGGCACGCGTCGCAGGTGGCGCGCGTCCATTGGAGACTGCGACAGTCGGGTGCCGCGCGTGTGCCCACCCCTCGCCCTCCCCGCCCGTCAAGGACGTGATCATTTCCAACAGGCTGGCGCCGAAACTAGATCAGTGATTGTCTGCCATGACCGAGCTGCCCCTGAAGTGGGCGGGGGCGTTCAGCGAGGCGCTGTTCCATATTCCTTGAAACAAATCCATGTTGAGACCCGCTCTGACGCCCTAGCAATAAGTACCCTCTGTGACGTACTTGGACGCAAAACGGCCACAGTTGGCGGCGCACCCTAAATCGCTTATCATCGTCATGAGTTCCGTTTGACCTGATTTAGCATGAGTCTTTCTAGCGCAGACCTGTACGCACCGTGACGACGTCTTGCCATCAACGAATCGTACCCGGACACCGACGGATGCCTGTCGTGATCTGAGTTGTGACCCGGCAAGGTCATACCGCGACCTGACCTCTGACGCCCCGGGCGTCTGTACCATGTACCGACCTCTGACCCCTCCGACCCTGATGCCGCTCACCGTGACCTGATTCTTGTGACACCAACATGCATCCACCGTGACCTGGCCGGTGACACCGGCGGGCGCCTACCGTGACCCAGACGGGCATCTGCCGAGATCTGACCGCCCTGACTCAGACAGACACCCACAAGGGTCTGACCCCTCCAGCGCCCCCACCCCACAGACGCCTTTCGGGCCCTGCTCCCCCCCCCCCCCTCCCCTGGCACCGTCCATTCCGTTTCTGGGACGCCCGCCGTGACTGCGCCCTCCGACTCCGGCAGGCACGTACCCGTTCGTGACGTCCTCGAACTGCAGCGCCGGCGGCGTCTGCACGGGCCTGGGCCTGCCGCCGCGCAGCATAGGACACGTGTACGGCGTGGCCAAGGCCTACACGACTCGCGTCGGCGTCGGCCCGTTCCCCACCGAACAGCTCAACGTGAGCGCGCGGCCACGGCGGCGACAGTGGGCTCCGCCGGTTTGAGCAGAGTTCCTGGGCTGGCAATGCTGTTTCAGGTTATTGCGTGCGTTTGGGATAGTATCTTACGCGTTGACATGGCTGTGATGCCTTAGAATGGCAGGTAGTGCTTTGGTGTTCGTGCTGCGAGCGGTTCTTCTGTCCTCCTCTACTTGCATAAGCGTGTGGTGACGGCTGGCCGTGTTTCTTGCCTCCCGCCGCCCTGGCCCCTGCACTGCTGACGTGCACGGGTGTCGGGCGCGCGCAGGAGATCGGCGAGCTGCTGCAGGAGCGCGGCGCCGAGTTCGGCGTGACCACCGGCCGAAAGCGGCGCTGCGGCTGGCTCGACTGCGCCCAGCTGCGCCACTCCAACATGGTCAACGGCTACTCGGCGTGAGTGCTGCAGCGGACGCTCAGCGGGGACTGCGCGCGCGCGGCGGAGGCCGGGGCGGCGGGCGTCTGCCTCGATCGCCGCAGCCACCACGCGCCTGCCGCCGCTGCTGTGGCCGTGAGATGCCGCGGAAGGGTGACGCACACTGGTTTGGTGGTACAACTGACAGATGGCGGGCTGTCGAAACATTCAAAACACTCGCAGCATGGCGGCTTGGCGTTTTGATGGCGTTCATCACTTTCAGTCTAATCAGACCCGTCGTTACATTGATGAGTCGCCGGACCGGCAGACCGCCGTCGCTGGTGGTCCACCTCCCGGTGGGGGGGGGGGGGGGGATGCTAACGTCACCGTCACTGCTCCGTTCTGTGCGCGCGTCCCCGGCGCGCGGCCGGTGCTGCCGTCTCACGGCGCCGTCGTTTGTGCCACAGCCTGGCGGTGACCAAGCTGGACATCTTGGACTCTCTGGCGGAGGTGAAGATGGGCGCCCACTACCTGCTGGACGGCCGCCGGCTGGATCACTACCCGGCCAACAGTGCCGAGCTGGCCACCGTCGAGGTGGAGTACATCACGCTGGCCGGCTGGTGCACGTCCACCGAGCACGTGCGCGCCTTCGCCGACCTGCCCGACAACGCCCAGCTCTACATCCGCACCCTGGAGCGGCTCGTCGGCGTGCCAGGTGAGGAGGAGGGGTGAGGTCCGTCGGGCTGGCGGGTGCGGATCGGCGGCGCGGGCCGCGCGAGGGCCGCCGGTCGCCGCTATAGCTCAGGCCGAGGACGGCTGTGTGCGGAGCTCGCTGCTTCTGGCGGCGGTCAGAGCTGTGCCGGTGCCAGTGAAAGCTTCGTTAGTGTGACGGCACCGACGCGGTTGTACCGCCAACTGGCTGCTTTGGTGGCAGCCTGTGAGCTGGCTTGAGTAAGTATAACTCGGCTTCCGCGCGAAATTTGCATGGTGTCGCGGCGACAGAGCCAGCTGCGCGTGCTGCGCTACTGACATTTGCCCCGTCGTTGACCCCCGTCGTGTTGCTGACGTCTGTCTGCCGCCTGACCCTTGACCCCGCCCCTCTGTCGCCGACAGTCAAGTGGATCGGTGTCGGGAAGTGCCGGGAGTCGATCATCGGACTGATGTGACGCCGGCCGCTACCGCCGCCGCCGCCGCTACCGCCACCGCCACCGCCGCCGCCACCGCCACCGAGTGCAGTCGCGTGCCCTGTCGGGGATGAGTGCCGCCGCCCGGCCGTGTTCCCCTAGTCCCGTCTAGAGGCGGCCGCGCGCTGCCGCGCCGCCGGCAGTCCTGTGTACCCCACCGTATTTTTTCAGTACGAATAAAACTGCCAGCGCGGATGGCGCTCGTGCTGTCGCCCGGACTAGGCTGCGGTGACCGTGACACGGTTGGGGGTCAACCTTGTTGGGGGTGGTGACGCGCACCGCAGGGGTCTGGATTGAGGTGTGCGGCGGGAGTGCAGCCGTGCCTCAACAAGACGAGACGATGCGGCAGTACCTCTGTTACGAATGGCTTTTGCCCTGGCATATACGGCTAAGCAGTGGCCACGCCACATGCCATCAAATTGACAGGTTGACCGCACAACATACCATCAGACTGGCAGGTTGACCGCACAATATACCATCAGACTGGCAGGTTGACCGCACGACATACCATCAGATTGGCAGGCTGACCGCACGACATGCCATTAGATTGACAGGTTGACCGCTACATACCATCAGATCGTCAGGTTGGCTGCACAACATACCATCAGGTTGGATAGTTGACCACACGTTATGCCATCAGACTGGCAGGTTGACCGCACGACATACCATTAGATTGGCAGGTTGACCGCACGACATACCATCAGATTGGTAGCTTGACCACACGACATACCATCAGGTTGGCAGGTTGGCCGCACGATGTGCCATCAGACTGGCAGGTTGACCGCACGACATACCATTAGATTGGCAGGTTGACCGCATGACATACCATCAGGTTGGCAGGTTGACCGCATGACGCCATCAGATTGGCAGGTTGACCGCATGACACCATGAGGTTGGCCGGTTGACCGCATGGCACACCATCAGATTGACAAGTTGACCGCACGGCGCATCATTGCGTCGATCATATATGAAAACCCCAGCTGACCAAGCCCGCCGTCAATTTTAAACGGCTGCTGGGAGGTGGCGCCACAGGCGGGCGGTATCGTGACCGGGCCAGCCTGGGACCTGTGGCGCCACATGTCCCCGCCGGGATGGCGCCACTGTCCCCACGCGGAGCCCAGGTAGCGCCACCTATCCCGTTGCGCCAGTGGCGCCCGGTGGGAGCTGACGACAGGTGTTGGCGCGGCTGCCTGTCACAGTACCCTGGCACCTGCGGCCTGCTGCTGCAGGGACGTGGCCAGCTGTTGGGGTCGGCGGCATCACCGACCGCCGTCTTTGTTGCCTCAGAGCTGTGGGCCTCCCCGCGGCTCGCAGATGGGCGCACAAAGCCAGATGACTTGCAGCTCTGATGTGCTTTCGAACGTCGCAGACATCCTCTCCGGTAGTCGTTCTAAGGTGCGCCCCCATCTTGATAGACGGCGTCTTGCTGGGCATATGTAAAACAGCTGGACAAGTGAAGGAATGACGGTTCGTTGATCCGCCGAAACGGGTTCATTGGACGACGCAGCCGTTTGCCGGATTGATAACACTTGGGTTCAAGCAGCCTTCCATCGACAGGCTGCAGGAGGACAAACGCGTCGCGGCCTGCGCCGGGTTCTGCCGATGGAAACATGATATAGCTGCTAAAAAGGCGCTGGCAGGAAGGCTGCTGGGTCACAGTTGTTGCTGGATCACAGTTACTGCTGACAAGGAAAAAAAACATATTGCGCATTTCTGGGAGTCAGGGTCGAGACGGTACAACCCGGCGTCCTTTGCAGAAAATATTTGTCACAGGCTCGACCGTCGTCATTTGCTTCGTTTCTGCTGGTGTCCAGGGATCAGTGGCCATGCCAGCGATCCTGATAGCCGACGGGTTCTGCGCCTTCTGCCACAGCGTGAGCGGCGTGGCAGGGCGGGGGTGGGGTCATACCCCGAACTCTGTTCAGGGGCGGTCACGTCACGTGTCTCCCCGCCCGGCGGGCGGGCGTCCGCAGCCTCTGCAGGCGGCCGCCACTGCTGACCGGACCGCAATGGCTCCGGCCCAGGCTTCCATCCCCGCCAATTTGACTGGACGGGCCGACGGTGGCCTACTGCGTCAGCTGTGCTGCTTACAGTCCGTGATGCAGACTTCGGGCGCGTCGCCAAAACATAGCGTATTGTTCCACCCACGTATATTAATCGCCCGTCACGTACCTAGCTGCAGTCAACAATGAACATGAGACACGGAATGCAGGAGCGGCGACGTTATTGCTACGAAAAACACTACGCGTTGTTTGGTATAACCTGCCGTGATGGTGGAATGTCTGCTTGACACTGAGCCGCCAAATACAGCGCTGCGAGGAGAGCTGCAATGAGGGCGGATAAACCCGCCGTGGCTGCCGCCCGCTTGCACGTGAGCATTGCACAGACACCACTCCGCGCCCCGTCCCGGCTTTCCGCCGGGCGAAGCCGACACCCCGGCCACCGCGCCCTCAGATAAACGCCGCTCACCCGCACGAGTGGGAGCGTTTGGACGTCCGCGACAGACTGCGGTAAGGGAGCTATGAGCTGCACGACAGGTACAAAACACAACCTAGGTAACCGACACGCGCCACGCACGGAAAACAAAAAAGCTTGTCGGGGATCGTAAACTTGGCTGAGATACAGGACCATCACTGTTGCCAGGCGCCACCCAACACAAACCCGGCCGGATTTGACACTCACGAACCGCGTTGCCTAAGTACGTAAAATGGAATGACGCATGTAAAGTTCACAACCATAACAACTCGCCCGTGTCAGACCGCGTACGCTTGCTGCAGAGTCCATGCATTCTGCCGGCGGCGGCGGATCGCGGCACCGCCGCTGACAATGGACATCGAATGACGCTGTCTGATGAACCTAGACATCCTATGAGACACACTGAGTCGACGTCGGCCGCCAGACGCGGCCGCGCGCGCCAGCCGGCACTGCCCGCAGCCGGCCACCCCCGGGGCGCCTGTCGACCGACGTCCGGACTCGCGCAGCGGTCCCCGCGGCCGTCAGGTCCCGGGGATGGCGCCTCAGCTGTGAGGAGCAGGGAACCCGCACGAGAGCTCCTGGCACCGGAGGTGGTGGGAGCTTTCCGGGGATCGGGGAATCCCCTCCGAGCACCAGAGCACGCCGTCCAGCCGGCGTGGGTATTTACACGGGCCGTGGCTAGGGCCGGTTTGGCCGAGCCGTGTAGCAGGACTGTACACACCAGCTGCGCTTCTCCCGCTGGCAGCCGGAGGTCTATCCCGGACAGGTCACTGAGTGGGTCTGGAAGTCGGCGCAGCTGACCGTGACACCACGGCGGGCGCCTGAGCGGCCGCTACTCGCACGGCAAGCGCCCGGCTGATCGGGTGAGCAGACAACCATGCGGCGCGGCGCGGAGCGAGCGCGGCAGCTACCGGAGCTGCGGGCGCATCGCGAGGGAGTCGGCCGCCTCGCCGTCCGAGTACAGGCTGTCGGAGGTGGGCTGGCGGCGGGAGCCGAGCGTCTCCTCGCTGCTGAGCTCGCGGCTGCCCTCCTCCGAGCTCGCCTCGGGCTCGCGCTCGTCCCCCGAGCTCAGCGGTCGCTTGGCCGTCGCCGTGGCCGCCGCCTCCAGCGGCAGGCGCAGCGAGGGCGGCCGGGCGCGTGTGCGCGTTACTGGCCGCCGCGTCACGCACTTGCGCCGCAGCGCCGGCGCCTCGCCGTCTTCCGACTCGGAGTGGCGCGAGATGAGCGCGTTGCGCAGCTGGCGGCGCCGCGCCGGCAGCGGCGCCGTGTGCACGTCGCAGTCGGACTCACCCGAGCTGCTCAGGTGGCGCGCGTAGTGCACGCGCACGAGCGAGCGCCGCCCGGCCGCCTCCTGCACCAGGCACGCGTCGTTGTCGCTGTCGTCAAACAGCAGGCAGCGGCGCGGCGCCAGCGCATCCGCCACGTTGCCGTTGCCGGCCTCGGTCGCGTACAGGTGGCCGCTGCTGCCGGCGGCTGGCTGCCAGTTGTGGTTGGTCTCATCGGGCAGCCGGCCGCCCGGCACGGTGGTGGTGGTCGTCGTGGCGTTGCCGTTCTCGGTGAGCCGCGTCTGCAGCGCCAGCGTCAGCGGCCGCCGCTCCGGCCGCTCGGTCGGTGGGGTCTGCGTGCTGCTCTCCGCCAGCTGGCGGTGCGGCGAGCGCAGGAACGGCTCGGGACTGCGCGCCAGCGCCGCCCGCCGGCTCGTGCCCGCCTCCAGCGAGAGCGCTGCCGGGCTGCGCGCGCGCGCCGCCGCCATCGTGTTCATGTCGCGCTGCTGCTGCTCCAGCTGCAGCAGGCACGTGCTGAGCTCCAGGTAGAGGTTGTTGGCGCGCTCCAGCTTGCGTTCGTAGTGCTGCCGGATGTCCTGCGCGTGCTTGAGCTCCTCGCGCCGCTTGCGCACGAGCTCCTCGCCGCCCTGCTGGATGCTGGCGCGCTCGGTGCGCACGCGCTCCATGTGCGCCTTGACCTCGCGTCGCCACACCGCCTGAGTGCGGAAGTAGGCGTCGCAGGGTATGGTGAGCACCTCGAGCGCGGCGATGTCGAGGTGCATGAGGATGTGGCGGAAGGAGGGCCGGTTGCGCGGCTTGGCGCTGAGGCACTGCTTGACCAACAGCTTGAAGCCGTCTGGGCAGGTCTGCGGAATGGGCAGGTGCAGCGAGTTGCTGCCCACGCCCCAGATGATGGCGCTCGAGTCGACGTCGCTGTACGGCATCTCGCAGGTCAGCAGCTCCCAGAGCACGACGCCGAACGACCAGACGTCCACCTTCTCCGAGCAGGGCTCGTTGCGGATGACCTCGGGCGCCATCCAGGCCACGGTGCCGGCGAACGACATGCGCGTGCTCATGTTGTTCCACTCGCGGCTGGTGCCGAAGTCGCTGATCTTGATGCTCTCGCTGTTGCCGATCAGGATGTTGGGGCTCTTGAGGTCGCGGTGGATGATCTTGTGCTGATGGAGGTAGCTCATGGCCGTTGCGATCTGCTTGGTCCAGTCCATGAGCCGCTTGGGCGCGATCTCCTTGCCGTCCTTGAGGTGGTCGTAAAGTGAGCCATACGGACAGTACTCCATGATGATGCAGAAGCAGGGCGCCTGCGTCGACACGCCCTTGAACTGCACAATGTTGGGGTGGTTGAGACGGCGCAGGTGCCGGATGTCCGTCTCCTTGCACTCGCGCACCTTCTTCACGGCCACCGTCTCACCGCGCAGGCTGCCGCGGAACACGGCACCCTGTGCGCCCGAGCCCAGCCACTGCAGGTCGCTGATGGTTTCGAACGGCACCTCCCAGTTCTCGGGCGGCGCCATGGCCTTCTTGGCGCTGATGATGGTCCAGACGGGCCGCAGGCAGCCGAAGATGCCCTCCATGAGGCCGGCCTGCGGCGCGCGCCCTTCGCGGTAGCCCACCTGCATGGCGGCCTGGTCTGGCGACGTCTCCGGGTCGGAGGCCGGCTCCAGCGGGCCGCCCGGCGGCGACAGGCTGGCCGGCGAGCTCAGCGTCAGCTGCAGCAGCTCCTTCTCCAGCTGCAGCACGCCCGGCTGCATGGTGTCGGCGGCAGAGCGCGCCAGACCTGCCGGCAGAGAAGACAGCCGTCAGACGCGGCACGAGGCGCGCCAGCGCGCAGGCGACGAACACCGCGCGGCCCGCGCCCCGTGGCGACGCGTCACACACAGCACGCACCCGAGCCCGCCCGTGTCGCAGCCGTCACGTAGTGCGTCGTCAGCCGCTCTGCGTCTCGATGGCATGCCTCGTGTCACGCGGCGTAACGGCGAAGGTCGCGCTCCGCGTCACAGGTACACACCTCACAACAGAACCAGCGGGACCGCGTCCCATAACGCCGCGAGGAAAAAGAGTGAACAACACCTGCGCGTTTTTCCTGTGTCAAGTGTCAAGCGTCAAGCGCCCTTCAGCCGACTGACTGACGCTATCAAATGTTGCCAGGTGTTACCAGGTCATCGGGGCCACAATAACGGGCTGGCTGTCTAGCCGGCGGACCATGCTGCAGGCCAGTCTAGCCGCGGGGTCATGCTTTAGGTCAACTGCAAATGTCAGCGTTCCCCGACGCTGCTATGTGGGGTCAGGAAGAGGGGCCCGTGGCACGCGCCCGCCAGCGGATACATGAGCACTGCTACCATACCACCACACCGCGGACCAGCTCCGTCTCCGCGGGCAGCGGACCCCGCCGCTGCTATGTGGGGTCAGGAAGAGGGGCCCGTGGCACGCGCCCGCCAGCGGATACATGAGCGCTGCTACCACACCACCACACCGCGGACCAGCTCCGTCTCCGCGGGCAGCGGACCCCGCCGCCGCGCCCGCGGACCAGCTCCGCCTCCGCGGGCAGCGGACCCCGCCGCCGCGCCCGCGGACCAGCTCCGTCTCCGCGGGCAGCGGACCCCGCCGCCGCGCCCGCGGACCAGCTCCGTCTCCGCGGGCAGCGGACCCCGCCGCCGCGCCCGCGGACCGCCGTCGCTGCGGGCGACAGCATTTACAGCCTGCTCACTCTCGTGACGGTCGGTAAAGCTGCTGGAACCGGATCTGGACAATGTCCAAGGCCTCCCAATATACTTTCACGGAAACTAATCGGTTAGTTTGTGGCGCAATGGTTCACCAGCGGTGTCACCATGTGGTGGTGGTGGGTTCCTGAGAAGGATATAGCCGCTGGGGGGGGGGGGGGGAGCGTATTCAGGATTTCGCTACGGAGGGAACAACTAAAAATTTGTCACCGAAACCCCAGTATGGCGCACCGCAGTTAAGCAGAATTTGTTACACGCCGTCAAACACCGCATGCTGTTGGTATATTTATTCTTGTGTCTATCTCGTTTTCGCAGTAGTCAATATTTGCACACACAACAAAGAATACGTGTAACAAATTCCCTAAGGGAGGGGGACGTGCCGCTGGGAACGGCTTCAGGGATACGCCACTGCACATGATTTGAGGACATGGAAATGTAACTCGCCAGGCTGCTGTGCTGTAACATTATTTGCGATGCGTCATGGAATGTCTGTGCTATTGAAAGGCTTCGTGGGATTACGACTGAAACGGCAAGCAGTCACTGTCGCTCACAGCTGTCACGCTGACCTTAAGGTCGACCCAACGTTCTGACATCAGTTAGCGCCAAACAATTCATTCCGATCGTGACATCGACATACGGCCAGCAAAGCCAGGCAGTAAAAAAGAGGATGTGACCAACGATATCGTGCGGTGTTATCAGCCACGGCGGCGGCGAACTGTCTGGGCCGGCAGCATACCAAGCCCATTCTTATCAAGCACTCGAGACCACAGGTGTGTTGACGCACGGCTTTCCACCCAGTAGACCCTGGCCTCGCAGCCAAACTCAAATGAGAACCATTAGTCAATCTGCCCTGAGGCAGTGAGACTGCTGGCAGCACTCGGCGCCCCTCGCAGCCACGCCCACCCGCCCCGCCACCAGCGCAGCACCCGTCACCGCCGCACCAACTCACCCCGCCACCAACGCAGCGCGTCAACACCGGCCACACCCACGCGCCCTGCCGCCAGCGCAACATCCTCCTCGGCCACGTCCGCGCGTCCACGGCCACCAGCGCAGCACTCCCTTGGCCATACACTCATGCCCTGCCGCCAGTGCAGCCCCCTCCTCGGCCACACCCGCGCGCCCTGCCGCCAGCGCAACATCCTCCTCGGCTACGCCCGCGCGCCCTGCCGCCAGAGCAACACCCTCCTAGGCCACATTCGCGCGTATTACCACCAGCGCAGCACCCCTCTCAAACACACCCGCGCGCCCTGCCCCCAGCGCACCACCCTCCTGAGATACACGCGCGCCCTCTGCCACGGGCGCGCCCCTAACGGCCCCACCGGTGCGTTCTAACTCCAGCGCAGCACCCTCCTCGACCACACCCGCGCGCCCTGCCACGGTCGCAATACCCTCCTCGGCCACACCCGCGCGCCCCGCCACGGTCGCAGCACCCTCCTCGGCCACACCCGCGCGCCCTGCCACGGTTGCAGCACCCTCCTCAGCCACACCCGCGCGCCCTGCCACGGACGCAGCCCCTTCCTCGGCCACACCCGGGCGCCCTGCCACGGTTGCAGCACCCTCCTCAGCCACACCCGCGCGCCCTGCCACGGGCGCAGCCCCTTCCTCGGCCACACCCGGGCGCCCTACCACGGGCACAGCACTCGCGCTCCGGTGCTCCCTTACCCACCGCAAGTCGCGCGCCCTCCGCAGCGGCGGCGCGCTCACCGCCGCTGCTTGAACACGTGTGCCGACGCGTGACTGCCCCTCCCCCCGCCGGTGGCAGGTGTTACGTCAGCAGGTGGGACGGCCGGCCAGCGCGCGGCACAGCTGAGCACCGGTCCGCCCCCGGCGCAGCGGCCGCCGTGGCCTCGGTGCGCCCCGTGTCCGTCACGGCGGGTTGGCTCGCCTGGCCGGATGTGGTTGCCCCTGAGAGCCGTGCGCCGGTGCGGGCGGCGCCGCGGCGGCGGGCTGACCGCCGGCGTACGGCGACGCCGGCGGCCAGCAGCGACCGGCGCTCGGATCTCGAGGCGGCGCGGGCGGCGCCGACCCCGGTCGGCGCTGGCGCAGCAGCCGTCTTGGCAGAACGCTGCTGCGCAGTTGGACGGAAATGCTTTACGAGCGGCCAGACGGGGACGCCCGAGCGCAAGATTCGCGGATTCCTTTGGCGGAGTGTTTCTGGGAACAGCAGAAAGGAAAGCAGAGGCGGCAACCGGGCGGGTTTTCGGGCATGACAATGGAGGCTTCGGAGGGATTCGTGGAACTCGTGGAACTGAACAAAGCGGACAGCAGGAGAGGAACGCCAACGAGCTTCGTCTTTGTCCGAGCAGCTGTGAATTCCCGAGGCTCGAAGAAAACAAATACCGCCATAACTGACGACAGCCTGGCTAGCCCTCAACTTTCATGCCAACGACTCCGCCCACCCAGGACATTACAATCATGCCAGCTTAAACTTAAGATGGCAGAGCAGCATCGTCTTACTAGACACGAGCTGCAGGGTATGATGTGGAGAGTTCACAGCGGACGCTCTGCAAGCTCAACGGACTGCGAGTTTAGCATAATCCTTCTACCGGTGCACGATGTGACAGGAATACATGAATACAATGAATGCAAATAAAAGTGCTCCAACGAGTTTGCGAGACATCAGTTATGCAGGAGTCTACGGGCAGCAGACTGATCAGGCTCGGGCAGGGTCCGAGAGGTCGGTGAACTTCCACCACACCATCCCAGGACACGATACGCGGCACACTACGCAATACCTAACACCGCTCAAAGTCCAAAGGTGCCTGCGCTCACTTACACTTAAGACGGTGATCTTAGGACCTCGAGGGAAATCTAAGGCTTACGGTAAGCCTGAACCATCCTAAATGTGAATTTGTCGTGAGAAAAATTGCAACATTCCCGAGTGTGCGATGCACATTAGTGCGTACACAGATGCGAGGCATACAGCGGCATCAGATGGTGCACTGTGTTAATACATGCGCGACCCTGACACTGACATATGTCGTTCGAGAACTGTTGATGTACAAGTTGTACACATGCGCGACCCTGGCACTGACATATGCCGTTCGAGAACTGTTGATGTACAAGTTGTTAATAAAGGCGCGACCTTAGCACTGACATATGTCGTTCGAGAACTGTTGATGTACAAGTTGTTAATATGGGCGCGACCTTGGCACTGACATATGTCGTTCGAGAACTGTTGATGTACAAGTTGTCAATACAGGCGCGACCTTGACACTGACATATGTCGTTCGAGAACTGTTGATGTACAAGTTGTTAATACAGGCGCGACCTTGTCGCGCCTGTATGTCGTGTCGCGACAAGTTGTTAATACAGAGCGACACTGACATATGTCGTTCGAGAACTGTTGATGTACAAGTTGTTAATGCAGGCTCGACCTTGACACTGATATATGTCGTTCGAGAGACACTGATATATGCCATACGAGAGCTGCTGATGTCCAAGTCACTCTTTGATCACATCACACCACTGGTTAGAATTGCCAGACACGTTGCTAAAATTATCCTCAGGGGAGGGCAATGTAAATCGGCTCGAAATCCTGCGAATTTGAACCAAATTAATCCGGCGTCCTTGCCCTCCCGTTGGTTACGTCTCTGAGGGTGGCCCATGCCAGTATTCGGATTGTCCTGGACAGATGCGCTCATACGACCATCAGCCCCACGAGCCAATATGGTGGCAGACGTCGCCGAACCCCAGGTGGTGATGATTCTCCACTCCACACCGTCGCAGTGGTCAGGCAGGCAGGCCGCCTCCGGGGCACGCTCCGGACTGGGTCAACGCAAATCATCACTGCTTATAAACCATGTTAGGTCAACATACACTGCCGATGCACCAGGTCACGAAAGGAAGCCACCACAGGTCGACCAGGGAACTTCAGGCTACCGCTGCTGAGTAAGCAGGCGAAGTCACCACTGCACCCGTTTGGTAGTGCATCGCTACCTTTTTGACATATCCTGCTTGAACGGACACGGGGCCTTCGGACGGCATCGATTTTCACGGCCCATTGATGTCATTGTTCTGCGTATCGGCCTGAGTGAGCGAAGGACTGACGCAGTGCAGCGATTTCAATGCGGGCAACTTCGTGACCGCAGGGGTCGGGTGCGCCTAATGATGTACCTGATCATGATGTGGAGCCTCGGGCCCACAGGTGGCGCGCGTACAGGCGACAGCCCTCAATTGGCAGCAAGTTTGCCCTGCTGAATCCGAATGCGGCATCCCATTGCCTTTTACACGGATCCGGCCTGTGAACATGCCTGAAGATTGCCCCACACGCTGGTGGCGGACACCGCTCCACCAACTGAGCTACAGAAGCGACTAACCCCATGTCGCATGCTATTCCACGGCCAATACAGAAGTCCAATTCCGGGAAAGAGGAGCTCAGCTGCGGGCATGGGTTGAGATTCGCAGCCAATGATGGGAGGTGCAAATTGATTTTATGAGTCCCTTTGTGCCATGCAACACCACGCACCGAACGCCAATTTCGTGAAGTGTTTGGAGGGCATGTGCATAACCTTAAAACAATAAAATGGCGCTCATGGCAGTGTGTCATTTTCTCGCAAATCAGGGATAAAAACCTACACCTGGAAACGTACATTTGCACATCTGTCCAGCTCCACGGCACACGCATGAAAAAATGACTTGGAAAAATGGTCATGGCTTTCGGAGAAGTAGTTTGAGCCGGAACAGCATGTACGCGAGCATCTCGCAAGAACGTGGAATGCGCTTCTCGAGTGTTACGGACTAGGCACAACACTGGTGTAAAGGTTGCCGCGACAACTTCCCGTGAGCAGTGCCCAACATGCCTCCAAATTGCACAACAAAGCTTTGCGTAGGTACAAATGCAGCGTATGGTTACATAATAGGGCGTGTTGATTATATCGAGCGCACATTTTAAACGCGGAAGTCTAGGACGGCCGGCAATCTCAAGCCATCTGACCCCCGCGCGGCAACATACGGCGGGTTTTCCTGGCACTTTTCCTCATCCGCCAGGGCTGGAGACAAGACCAGCGTGTCCGTCGCAGGCCCCGCCTCAGTCCTGCTGCACAGCGACTCGCGGTGACAGCCGCTGGCAGCGTGCATCGCCCCGGTGCCGCGCGCCGCCGACACGGGCGGCAGGCCCGCACCTGTACAGCGTGCATCTGTGCCCGCCAGCATCTGCGGCGGCCAGCTCTGCCTGCCAGGGGACACGGCGGCGGCACAGGCGCCGCGCAGACGGAGACGACGGACACGCCACGGGTGCTTTTGGCTAAGCTGGCAGCGTATATACTTTGAATCCCCCAATTTAGGCAGTCACTGCTATGCACATGTTACTGCACAGATCACTTCCAGGCAACCCAGGGATAGCTTGGTGCTGACACTGAGAGCATATTTTACTGTCACTTCACGTGTGTCTAATTCGGAGAAAACGCAAGTCCATGATGACGCAGCTGACAACGCGAAAGTTGCCCCCCCCCCCCCCCCCCCACCACACACACAGTTGATTGCAAACGTTAACCAGGCGTGTGAGTTGCACAGCGCAACTGCAGCCCAGTTCATCCGAGGTCGGCCTGCTCTTGCCGATTGAGTGCTTTGTCAACTATATCTTGTGGGTCTGGTCTGGTCCTATCCCCCTTCTGCTCGTACACTCGAATGTTTGTTTGCTGCCACATATCTGGCTGACGGGCTTGGAAGCTGTCGCGCGGCTGCTCTGGATCAGTTGCGACGCATTGAAATCAATACACCGGCTGCACCCAAAAACCAGTCACAGATGGGCCCACGTGCCCAGAAAGAGGATTTGTTGGTCCTGTCAGGCGCGATCTCCACGGAGTGAGGAACCGGCGCCTGGGATAGAGTCTTCCACACAGCGCGTATCAAGTTCTTCAGCGTTAGGCGAGGGCTAATCACATGTCGAAGACGCTCAGGTCAATGCCTCTGGCTGATCGAACGCAAGAATTCGCCCGAAATTGGGGCTTCACTGTCCACCATTATGACCGGAACAGGTCCGCTGTCCGGACAGCCATCACCGACCGGCCCTGGACGGCAGACTGCGCAGCAGGGGCCGACACGAGGACCTGAGTGCTACCGAAGCCAGACACTCATGCTCGCGCCCGCGCCGTGGCCTTGTTGACAGGGTAGGCGAGGACATTGTCGATAGGACTGGTGAAGTCAAGCGACTGGAACGAACTTCCTCCATTAGCCAGATGTGAAAATAAGCCTCTTTTGATAAAAGCAGATGCGGCCATCGCCACACCAGCCACACAGCACTTCCCGCCCATGATCACACCACAGTAACTGCCAGTACTCAGTGGTCCCTCGGCCAACGCCCCCATGACCTCGCGCCCGTCCCCTCCCCCCCCCCCCAGGCTTCCGCCTCTACACTGCGCGCGGCCGCACCAGAAACCAGTGCTGTTTGAATCAATAAAACTGCTGTTGAATAAATCCTGGTGACACTGACCAGTTAAGTGGTGGTGGCACTTATACAAGCGAATGTGGGCGATACCGGAGACTTCCTGACCGCGATGAAAACAGACAATCGTCTAAGCCGGAGCGATGTGCTTGACTCAACGTATTGCCGTGTATCTCATTGCGGAAATTTGAAGAATGCCTTATGCTAACCGTTGGCAATTGTTTAAACCTGACACGTATTGAGACAACCTACAGCAGCTGTCGTGCTTGGCACGATGTCTACGATTTGTTACACGGGTATGTCTGGTGCGAAGCATCTCATGCGGTTTGTCAAAGCCGGCAACGGCATTGTGTAGTAAATGGCTTGAACAGCTCCCCGAAAAACGGCACGTAATTGTGAATGCAAATGGTCACTTCTACGATCATGGCGCAGTAAACCGCCCACTTTGCTCCAGACGGCCCGACAACCAAACCTGCAACGGGTAGCTCCCCGTATCGCAGCTTTCAAGCCTTCAGCTGTCGCTGAGCGCGCCACGCTAACGCGCCACGGCCAGCTGAGGATCAGTGGCCATTGTCTGTAACGGTACCGCAGCGCAGTGGTACCACCCACTGCCGTCAGCCAAACGGGGCGCAATGCGGCGCGCCCAAACGTCGCAGGCAGCACGGCCACGCCAACGCCGTGGCAAACCATCCGCCCCGGTGTACTCACACTGGTCGGGGACACTCATGTACCGCTCCTGCGGTCCTGGGCTCGTGCCGTCCCTGACCCTCGCCAGAATGCGGCGGGAGCACGCACCGCACACCGCACCTCCGCACCACACACCGCCACAGCCCGCTATCCAAGCCGATGTGTGACGTCACGTCAGACGACGGACGGCTGGCGCCAAAACTGGCGCGCTAGTGGCGGGAGAACGCGCCGGCCGGAACGGCGGCCGGATCGGCCGGGAGCGACGCCGTCGCTGACGCTGCTGCGGCTCCGTCCGGCAAAGCGAGCGCTAGCGGGAGAAAGTTTTAAAAAAAATAGGGAACGGCACGTCACCCCTTGAGCGAGCAAAGGGTGCACTGAGGGTACGGCTAGTGCCGAGCAGCCGACTCGTTCCGCTCCGACCGCTCACCACTATCGTTCTGGGAAATCCGGACCGTGACGTCACGGGGAGCCAGCTCAATCGATGGCCCGGGCCGGCTCGCCTGCCCGTTCTGTGCCGCTGCACCCACGCTGGAGATGCAAACTGCATCGCGCTCGGGCCCACGTCGGCAGCAAAGCGGCGGGCAGGCGATTCTGCAGCACGGCCCGATCGCGGGCAGAGGTGCAGCTTTGCGGCTAGAAGGTCCGCGCGGAGGCGGGGAAGAGCGGCAGGACTGAACGGGCGTGCAGTGGTGAAGGCAGCCGGTGTTTGCCAAGCGGTCCACCTGCGCCCGTCGTTACGGGAGCCAACGCCAGGTTCGGAGCGCTGCCGTGTCCTTACTTATGCATTAGTCGACTTGGCAGAGGTCGGAGCTGATTGCCGGCACTTTGTAATGCAGCGCGGGGTTACGTCGCACGCAGGGGTCGGAGCCATCGTCGGCACTGGGTAATACAGCGCGAGGTAAAGTCAGTCGCACGCATGGGTCGGAACTCATTGTCGGTACTGGATAATGCAGGGCGAGGTAAAGTCGCACGCATGGGTCGGAACTCATTGTCGGTACTGGATAATGCAGGGCGAGGTAAAGTCGCACACAAACAGAAAAGGCGGGGTGTCGCGTATTCTATTAAAAAAGCACAGCATAACACGCATCACAAATATGATCGAGGCACAGATAATGAAAATAGCGGCATTCGGCCATTTTTTCACCATGCAGGAGGGCCTGCGACGCGCAGGCTCCACCACCCGGGATCGTGCTTCGAGATGACGTCACACTTTCATCTGCCTCATTTGACGATTGCAGATCGGGTCTGCACACCTGGGTTTGTATTCCTCCACGGGCTGAGCCCTCGGCCGTGCCAGATCGGACCGCTTCTGACCATGTCGTCCGTCCTTGGCCGAATCCTGGGTCGGTGTCGGGTCAGTCGAACGCGGTGGCGAACGCCTCGCGTGCCAGTCGGTACCAGCCCGAGACAGGCGGGCCGGCACGCTCCCAAGGGCACGGTGGTATGCACGTATGTGCGGACACTGAACGTGCATGTACGACTGTCGTTCGTGACGAACATCAGTGTACTGTTGCAAGATGACATTGTGTCTGTTATCATTGGCGGTGACACAATTGTGATACATTTGACCGGAAATGCTAAATTGAAAATCAGCATGGGATGTTGATATGGAGAACTTGGAGAATTCCTGCCAAAGGCGGTCCAGCCAGAGGCAAGCCATGCAAAGTGTGTGGTGAGGGGGGGGGGGGGGCGAGCACAAAACGTTTTCAAAAGACGGACAACCTTTTTAGTTATAAAATATATACATAAATTTTCGGGTCGTTTCAGCAAGAAAGTATGCAGGATTTCACGGCGGAGGAGGGCGCAGCCCGGGAAATCTTCACTAAAATCCAGTTCAGTGCACCGCAGGTGCGCAAAATTTCTTGCGCATCGTTAACGTTGCATGCTCTTAATCTTCTATACTCATGCATCTGTCTGGAATTTCTAACCATCATATCTACTCAAGCATATATTAACACATACTATAAGTTCGAATTTGGGGAGGACATTCCGCGTTGGCCACTATGTGAAAACGCCGCTGGGTGTGAACCTGGCATTGGCCTTAGTTCAAGTATAATCGAGCCAAGGCCCCAAAAGGGCAAAACACATTTGCACGCACGGAAACAAAATGCTGTTTTGGGGTGACGTGCATTTTACGTGTACTAGAAGCGTGAGTGTAATGGTCGTAATTTGCCAGTCTGCCCTGTACAGTACCAGACATCCACGGGGACGTACGCTCGTAGTGAGCCTTGGGGCGTTCCCTCGCCATTTACCAAATGTTTCCATGCTGTCAGTCAAAAATTCCTTATAGACGCGTTAAAAAAGATCGGACGACACACAATAGATTGCGCGTTCTTGCGTTGCATTAAACTAGGCTTTTAGCAAACTTTTTAGTTGCACCCTCCTGTTGTGAAGCCCTGTGTACGCCCCTGAGTCCAGCCATCCTCCGCGGCCAACCCAGACGTTGGTTAGGGTTACATCGGACGGGTATAGAGCACGCGATATTCTGGCCATTTTCCATGATGCGCGAAAGGTGACGCATGCTCTTGCATCAGGAAGTATCAAATAAAGCAATGGTACAACGCGCATCAGTAAAGGCCAGATGTGTTTTGGGGAAAGCGAGGCTATACAGACGCGACAGCTAGCAGCTCCTGTGATATAAATCACTTCAAAACCTTTGCTAACGGAGTACCACAACCTTGGAGACTGATGTAAACGTCGCACGAATAACCTGAATGTTCTCCTTGATTGGCCACATCATCAGCTTGAAATGACATCCGGATGAAGTGCCCCCTGATGTACTGTAGATATGAGCATACAGAGGCGCCCTGATATACCGTATATATAGATAGAGGTTCACTGATGCATCACCCGCGATGGCTCGCAACTTATATTGATCGCATATTGGCTGGCTGTGGGTGTGACCAGACGTGATAATTTCAATTGACAATACAAACTAACTTCCGACGGTTGTCAATATCGGTGCCAGAGACCAAACTGTCGCAAGAAATATCGATATTTGGGCCGATAGTGATCACAGTGAGTAGGTACGTACAAGTACAGTCCAATCGTTCTCGGTTCAGGACACATCGGCTTACATTTGCAATAGATTTTTTAAAAAATATGACAGCGACCGACTCCCGATACATTACTAAGCAGCTAAGGGACGAGCAGTGAAGAGATGTGGCTGTTATTTGTAGACGGCGCATTTCATTAAAACGTGCAGTTAGTGTCACATCTTCATCTGCTCCGGTTTTCGCGATCTGGAAATTCTTAAAGGGAGTGTTCCACGCTTACATGGGGTTTTCAACTGAAATAGCCACCTTGAGGACCTTTCGGCGCTGTTCACAATCCTGCCTTTCTTAAGACTTTAGGCCCCTCTAGTTTCTGAGCTAAACGTCGGTGAAAATAAAAGTAAGCTTTGTATTCATGACGTAATGATCATGTCATTCAAACCCTGTCATTTCACAAGCTATTGGGTGAACAAGGCTAAGAATATATGGTTGTCGAGACGTTCATATCTGGCGTTCGTGAACGCGATTTCCAGATATAACGGCCGTCAATCGGCTCTCAACAAATGTTTTGCGAAGAACGATGACGTAATCAAATCATGACGCATTTGGGAGCATATTTGATAAACAGAATTGTGCCGTCTAGATTATTTGTGCTGTTTTCCGGTAAAAAGCGTACCAATATTTATACGTGAGCTTGTTTCATCATATCTCATGCTTGCTTCAATATCTTTAAATGTGGAACACTCCCTTTGTGTGTGTGTGTGTTTGGGGCTTTACGACGCACTCAGCTGCTGAGGCTATATGGCGTCGCCTGCCTCTCACCCTGGCAGGAAGGGCGGGCACCGCGGGGAACATTCCTTAAAACCGCTCAGTGAGGGTAAACTGCGGTTTAAGCTCGGGCGCGCGCGACCGGCTGTACACTCGAGCCCGCAAGGGTTCACTGCGTCGCCCGCTCTCTCGCCCGTCGAACGGTGCTGGCTGCCCGTCACCACGACGACGTATTGTCGAGGTCGGGTCCGGCTTCGGCCCGCGCCGCGCAGCTCCTTCGCGATCAGCAATGTGCACGCTCGTCTCCCGTGTTAGCCGAACTGAGAAGCCTGCGTTCCGGGGTGTAGAGATATGAAATTCCAGAGGGCGAGATAGCCGGCACGAACCGGGGCCGCTCGCGGCTCGCGGTGGCTGGCTTCTCGCTGTTCAAGCAGCGCCCATGCCATTCGCGGCTCGCTCGTGGTGAGATCGCCTGCTCGCATGCTCTTTCAGTGGCCTTGGGGCACGCTCCGGCGTTGTTGAGCAAGCTGATGGCTTGGGGACAATTTAGGACTCGGCGACTGATGTTGCACTTTTCAGCGGCATGCAAAACTTGCCTACACATAGTTTTGTGGAAATGTCTGAGCACCACTTCAATATGACCTCATTTAAGCAAGTGGGTGCCAATCGTTCAGAACTCCACGAGAACTAAGCCAGCATGCTGAGGAAACTTGGCGATGACAAGTGACAGGGACAATACTTTTCTAAAATGATTGAAATGGAGGTGAGGGGGGGGGGGGGGGAGGGCAGAGAACTCAAGTACTCAGGAAGGACTCCAACAATAATAATCATACGATATGCTTTAGAGGCTAGACGGAAGTGGTCATGCAGAAGCGTAGAAGCGCAAGCCCCCGAGGAACAGCGCGATACCAGGAGCTCCCGCACCGCACTCCACATCGGCTGAATGGCCCTGTGACGCACGTCCCGTGCGGCGTCCCAGGGCCGGAAGGTCACGCTCGGCGCTCGTACGCTGCGTGGCGCTCCCTGGAAGCGGCCTCCAGCGGTCGTTGGCTTCCTCGCCTCCGCGTCGCTAGCGACCCGCCTCTATTCCCGGGCAACCCGGCCGTTGTATCGACCCGCCCCGGCGGCGCCGGAGCCGGTCCAGCCGGCGCCTCGGACCCCACCTGACCGGCGTCACGTGACCCAGCACGGCGGCGCTGCCGCCATCGCGGCGCCGTGGCTGTCTGTGACGTGTAACCTGGTGCGTGACGGACGAGCCGTGTCCCACCTGGAGCCCACCGCTCCGTGGCATTAGCTCTGTCGAGACGCCCCGCGACGGCAGGCGGGCGCCTGAGCAGCTCGCGGTCTCCTCCGTCCAAGAGAAGGACCCGCGCAGCGTCTGTCGAGAAG